GCTATAAACAAACACAGACATATCTTGGATTGTCTGCTCTCTTCAAGGATATGAGGTCCTGACCATTACCCCCTGATTACTAATTCAGTGGCCACTGAACTAATGTATCCTTAAATGCACTTTAGTAAATACTTATAACCCTGGATAATTAAGTACATATCTTCTCTCCAAGTAAACAACTAATCTATATTTACTTAAATTTACAACTGTACATGTTGTAATGCCCCTAGATATCTACAAGTTTCCACTGCAGTGATAAAACTGCACAAGTGTTGCAGAAGTCAAACCAAATGGATTTTGTCTGTGAAAATGGATTGCCTACAGAAATAATTTGGCTCTTAATTATAGCCTTCTACTGGACCCTGTAAATCAGCTATTTCTTATAAATCATCAGATTTTATCCCAGACAATTCAAACATCAGCTATCCATCACCACAGCTGAGAATTTCACTAAGAATTTATGTACTGGTAAACAATCCTCAACACCTCAGTAAATCAGCTGTTTTCTTCAAACCTACTACAATATCTGAATTCTTATTCCTCCCTTTTTTTCTGTTTCCTGAAATTCTTGAAATTACAATAAAATGACTTAATGTTTCCCCCATCCTTAGAAAGGCTGGGGGCAGCTAAATATAGCTGACAGACAATTCAGCAGGGAAAAACACAACCCCTCTGTCTTAGATAACAGTATTACAGCACGAAACAGGAGGGGGTTGTATAATGGCTCCAAAGACAGGAAGCTGAAAAATTTACTCCAGTCTGACAGAACCTCAACGGGTGGATCAGAATTTCTGCTTTCATTCAGAACACCACATTTCAAAATGAAAATATTCATCACATATTTAACATACCACTGTAAGTTCATTGAAAATATTTTGTTATTGTTATTGTTGTTTTGTTTTTTTTTTTTTGTTTTTTTTTTTGGGGGGGGGGGGAATTTTAAAATATTTCTTGGATATCTTAATATTTTGTAATTAACATATCACTAAAATAACTTTCATCAATGAACATTATGGTTTAAAAAATTATTAATCACTTGTCCTTTTACACAAGATTTTCAATAAAATCATGACAAATGAATATATTTTCTAATTAAGCAGAATCATTAATTTATCAAAAAATTTTTAGTGATCTAAATGAGTGTAGGTCTCTGCCCTCTGTCAGAGATAATTTGAGTTTATCCTGATGGCCAGAAGAACATTCACACCTACGGATCAAACAACAAATGGCTAAAACTCAAAGGTTCTGGAATTCTAAAACACAAGGTCACAACTCACCTTCAGTATCTAATTAAATAAATCCTATGAGAAACTTTGGTAAATAAAATAAAACCAGGAAAGAAACAAATAAGAATCCAGGTATCCCAAATATGTCTGACTTCTCTGACATCAGATCGCTACGGTAACTTGGAAGGAATAGTGAGAGTGAGGCTTCAGTGGGGGAAACTAGATTTTGGTAATTTTCCAAAGAGAGCAGCAGAATTCACAGAATATAACAGAGATTTCTTATCTTGTCATCTGAGTCTCTTTCACAAAAAGTACGTAGTAGACTCTTCATTATATCTTACTGCATGACTCTGAATCTTGTAATATAGATTTAGTAGAATATTTGTTAGAATTAAGAAACATTGCTAGGTATATATTAACTTCTGAGATGCAATACATAAACATGAAGAAGTGCACAAATCCTTCAAAGGAATATGAGGTTAACATAACTCATTTATCTCTGAAAGCTCTACTTGGCAACAGTATAGTCAGTCATTATAAGTATTTGACCTACTTTTGTGGCCAGAATCTAGGTCAGATCCTCAGTACTCACTCATGTCCTGAACCCCCATGGGAGCCCCAGCTTACCCTCTGATCTGATGGATCACAGCAGGGGGCATAATCACAGATAAGACAAAAATATCACACCACTGCACTCCCCCTTATCCCAGCAGCAGTGGCTTTACAATCTATCTCATAACCGATAATCTGTCAGATAGCTTGTACTACTTCATAATGACACAGGTATGGGTGGGATTTACTGAGATCTAAATCTGATCAAACAATTGCTAGTTATATAAGTAAAAGTACAGTAGAGTAACAGGAAAATTCTGCTTCCAATAATAAGATGTGGACTAAGATTATCTAAATACATGTAGAGAATTTAAAGTAAATATTTGTCTTGGTTCATTAGATACCATGATCAAGACTTATAAAAGTTAGAGCATTTTAGAAATTCCCATCCATCAAACTGATTCTCAGACACATGGCAGCCAGTATACAAGAGTACTGAATTAACTCGGGTCTTAAAATAACACTTAAAATAATTAACTCAAACTCTCAATGAGTCATGAATGAAACCCTAGGGCAGATGCTGCACAAAATATTTAGTTTATTACAATTGCCGGTTATGCAGGGTTTTTAAAAAATTATTTTGATTGAAACTATGTATCCAAGAAATGAGGGAAGCAGATACAGTAAAACACGCTTATAACAAAGTACCAGGGAAGGATAATTATGCTTCATTATAAATGTAATTCGTTACATCCATTAAATTCAAAACATATTTTAAAGCCACAAAGAATGAAAATCACTTTGCTGTTAGCATTAAATCATTAAGCATGTTCACTATAAGTGTATTTTTACTGAATATTTCCAGTAGTGAATAAAATTACTTTGCTTTAATTTCAAATCACCCCATAATTGAAACAAATATGAATCCTTTGCCCCAGAACATGTACCTTGAGTCAAAGTAGATTTAAACATTAAATCATAGGAAGTAATTTGCATAACAGATATGTAAATGAATGAAAAAACCAGAAGTCTCTGACGAGACTGTAGCTCTACTGGTTGTCCTTATAAAAGAAGGATAAAAGTAGCACTTGGACTTGAAACTTTGCAACAGCAATAAATAGAATAATGATCCTTGGTTTAGTCTCTTTTTGTGGAAAGATTTATTGCAATCAGACTAAAACTGTAGGAGGAATAGCCTTTTAAAACAATTTTACAGAAATTTTGATTTAAGTAACCATGGCAACATCATTCAACAAAATCAAAAAACAGTAACATCAATTATGTATCTCAGTCTAGTTTACTTGTATGCCATGTTATACTGAAATCAGACAAAACATGTAGGAGGAGTAGCGTTTTGAAAGTATTTCAAGAAAATTTCTATTTTTAGTAACCATGGCAACACTGTTCATCGAAATCCAAATCTGGTACAGAGAATTATGTATCTTAGTGTAGTCTAATTGTGTGCTAAGTTATACTAAAATTAGACCAAAACTGTAGGAGGAGTAGCATTTTGAAGGTATTTCAAGGAAATTTCTATTTTTAGTAACCATGGCAACACTGTTCATGGAAATCAAAAATCGATACATAGAATTATGTATCTTGGTGTACAAAAATCGATACATAGAATTATGTATCTTAGTGTACAAAACAAAATTATGTATCTTAGTATAGTCTACTTGTGTGCGAAGTTATATTGAAATCAGATCAAAACTGTAGGAGAAGTAGCGTTTTTAAAGTTTTTCACAGAAATTTCTATTTTTAGTAACCATGGCAACACCGTTCATTGAAATCAAAAACTGATATATAGAAATATGTATCTTAGTGTTGTCTACTTGTGTGCCAAAAAATATTGAAATCAGATTAAAACTGTAGGAAGAGTAGCATTTTGAAAGTATTTCACAGAAATCTCTATTTTTAGTAACCATGGCAACACCGTTCCCTGAAATCAAAAACCGATATACAGAATTATGTGTCTTAGTGTAGTGTACTTGTGTGACAAGTTATACTGAAATCAGACCAAAACTGTAGGAGGAGTAGCATTTTGAACAAGAGGCCCATGGGCCACATCGCTCACCTGAGTAACTTTGGCCATGCTGTTCATTACCAGACTCCCCCCTTGTAATACCTATTGTGGCCCCGCCCTACCCCCGGGGGTCATGATTTGAACAATTTAGAATCTACACTATCCCAGGATGCTTCCACATAAGTTTCAGCTTTTCTGGTCCAGTGGTTCTTGAGAAGAAGATTTTTAAAGATTTTTCCTATATATTTCAATGTAAAACTTGGATTCCCTATTGTGGCCCCGCCCTACCCCCGGGGGTCTTGATTTGAACAATTTACAATCTACACTACCCCAGGATGCTTCCACATAAGTTTCAGCTTTTCTGGTCCAGTGGTTCTTGAGAAGAAGATTTTAAAAGATTTTTCCTATATATTTCAATGTAAAACTTGTATTCCCTATTGTGGCCCCGCCCTACCCCCGGGGGTCATGATTTTTACAATTTAGAATCTACACTACCCCAGGATGCTTCCATATAAGTTTCAGCTTTACTGGCCCTGTGGTCCTTGAGAAGAAGATTTTTTAATGACCCCACCCTATTTTTGTCTTCTCTTGATTATCTCCCCTTGTGAGGGGACTTGGCCCTTCATTTTAACAATTTAAATTCCCCTTCACCCAAGGATGCTTTGTACCAAGTTTGGTCAAAATTGGCCCAGTGGTTCTTGAGAAGAAGTAAAAAATGTGAAAAGTTTACAGACGGACGGACAGACAGACGGACAGACGGACGGACGGACGACGGACAAAATGTGATCAGAAAAGCTCACTTGAGCCTTCGGCTCAGGTGAGCTAAAAATTGTTTACAGACAGATAGACAGACAGAGGACAGACAACTTACTATCGCATAAGTTCTTCTGGTCTCTGACCAGTAGAGCTAAAAATTGTATAAAAAATTGTTCACTATGAAGACAGGTAAACAGATAAAATTATCCTTTAATGATATACTGTTGCAGAGTTCTTTCCCTTGATAAACTCAATATAATATGCCATTTTGCTTTCTTGTAGAATTATTTCCCTTGACAAAATCATTACCGGTTTACATATATTCACTGATTTCTTTAAATTCTCCTGTAGGATTATTTCTCCTGACTAAATCAGTCCACCCACCTGTCTTTGTCACTTGTACAGTTACTTCCCTTAACACCCTTGAGCCTCAACATACCAACCTTTTTTCTCTTTTTCAAAAATCTTTCTCTTCTTAAGATTCTCCTGTGTTCCTGGCACTAGTGTTTCACTGACAACAGGGGGAGGGAGCTGGTCACATTCATCATCTTCAAGGGGTGGGGGAGGGAGGGGGAGTTCATTAAAAGGTTCTTCCTCAAGAGGAGGAGGAGGAAGAGGCTCCTCATCTAATGATGATGTCATCACATTCATGGCAACTTCCGAAGTCTCAGAATTTGCTGGAGGTGAGGTATCTACGGGGTAAAAGGGAACAGCAATAAAATTTACAAATGAAAAATTGTAAGAAAGATTTTTATTTACAATCATGAATACACTTTTACAGTAATTTATGTCTCTCAATTTGAGCCTACCTTTCTCCCATGGTTTTGGTCCCCCAGTTGATTTCAACACTGCCTTAAAATTCACCCCTGCTTCAGTATCTTTCTCTGGGGTACTCTTAATTCTTTCTAAAAAAAAATATAAACAATGACATCATAAATTCATTCAATATATAATTGAACATCCTTCTATTCTTTTTTATAACCAGATTTCAAAAAATGCCCAGCACTTACATACTGACTGATTATTTTACTCATTTTGTTAAACATAGGTCATTTTCAGACACTGAACATGGTATCAGACAAAAAGCATGACTTTCAGTCACACCCAGCACTATCTTTTCTATGATGTATCATTGATTACCAAAAGTTTGCAGAAAACTGGAAATTAACTCACTTATCATTGTTTGCAAATATACACCCTCTTGAAGTTAAAAAAAAAAAAAGACTGATCCAATTATATGTTTGGTAAATTGAAAAAGACACATTCAGATTCCAGGAGTGTCTGTGCTACTATCTTAAACTTGGACTTTTTGTACATAAACAAAGTGTTTCCATCTTTTTGATAGGATTTTTTTTTAATCAATGGATCTATGTCACGTACCTGTCTTCTTGACTGGATTAAGCTTTAGCAGCAGTCCTTCTGGTGATGTTTCTCGGCTGTCTTCTGGTGACCTACTTTTAGCCACGTCTTTAGGATTGGACCGCAGCTGTACCTTCCCTAGCTCAGCAGCTATCCCCATGGCAACCTGTTTGGAAGTTTTCTTTTCCTGTTGTTCATTGGGTGCTGCTTTAAGCTGGACTTTGTTGAGTTGGGCAGCCAGACCAGACCCACCAGAGTGATGGGTGGGGGACTGTAAGGGACTAGTGTCCACCGACCCCTCCCTCATTCTCATACCCAGCTCAAAGGTTGACACAGAAGATCTGGTCCCTGGGATTTTTGAGATAGGGGGAGGTGTGGGGGGTTCTTGTGTTGGAATCTGTCTTGATTCAAAATGCTGACTGGGAACCCTTTGGCTACTGCCCATTTCCAAGGGTGGTGGGGGTAATGGAGGGGAGGGAGAGCGCATGCCTCCATGGGATCTAATACTGTCAAAGTGAGGTGGAGGAGGGGCAGGAAAGCTGGGGGCTCTGTGTTTTCTAACAGAAGGTCCTACTGGTCCTTGGCCATGTACCATATTATGTTGGGAAGGAGGCAAAGGGTTTACATTCTGTGGAAAGTTCATGTCCCTTGTATGGTAAGGTGGAGTAATTGGTGTGACAGGAACAGACTGCCTCCTAGGCGAGCTTGGAGAGCCCCCTTTCGAGACCCTCTGGTACTGAGCATTATGGGAAGGCTGGACTGGCCTTACATCATGACTGGAAGACATGTGCTGTTCATGGTGTCCATTGTGTGAATAAGCTTGGTTGATAGGTTCGTATGTTGGTGATCCTGGTGAAGTTAAATTGACATGCTGTGGAGAAGTGGGGAGGGCTGACATATATGAGAAGGGTCGAGTCTGGTTAGGGGAGGGAAGAGGCTTCCCTGGTGATGAGTCCCTTCTTCCCTGGGGATGATGGAATTGTTGGGGAGATGTTGATAACCCTGGTGACTGATGAAGTGAATGACGACTGCTTTGTCTATGATCATCCAAGAAAACAGGATCATCACTAGAAGTTGAAATCTGGAAATAAAATTGTTTTTATGCTGAAATTTGTTTAAATGATTCGTATAAGTTACATACAATCCTTGAAATTACCAGTAAATATTTAATTTTCAAGCTAAAAAATTAAGCAAGACATCCTTTCGTGAGGCGAAAAACTCATACCAATTAATCAACAACATCAATTTTTATCTTGATAATATATTTCTATAAAAATAGAAAACAATTTTATAAACTTCTTTACTTGTAGAAAGGAGCCATTTCTTCTGATAAGTTTATCTTTACAATGATATATGTCAAACATGCTCATGATAAGTATATCAAGATATTGGTAAAGTATTGTGTATAACTGATTTAGAAATTTCTTTGAGAATATATAAATTTATAATGACAATTTATAACTCTGAAAAATCTTTTTAAAAAACAATTCCTTTCATTTGAAGGAAATGATTGTACCTCTAAATACTGTGGAATCATTAGATTTCGTGGTGGCTCAATTTTCGTGGAATTTGTGGGTACCTCTCATTAATGAATTAACATCCTCCACATATTAGGATTACAGAGTTATTTCCTCTTGTAGATATAAAAGAATACACAAAAATATGTCCCCACGAACATTTCAAATTAACACAATACATGAAAATTGGTCCCCATGAATTTTACTGATTCCACAGTATGATATAACATTTTTCTTTTACAACTGTTTAAATAATAAAACTTTAAAAAAAGACATGAATTATAGTAAAAAAAATGGCTTTCAATAGATTTATAGTACAATCATATAATTTTTGGGAAAAGAATAATGTAGCTACAAGAGTGTCTTTGTTAAAAATAGGTCATTAAGTATATACTGTATATGATTAATCTTATAATTTGCTAGCTCACTGCCTTGTGGCGTCGTAAAATGGATAACCAAGCCTAAAAATAAACTAAACAGTAATGTCACATGACAAGAAAATGATGAGCCATTTAGATACTGTAATAGTTTAGTGTACATAGTATTTATAAACCTGATATTATGTGAACTTTGTGAGGAGATATCCCTATCCCAATCTCATACGAGTTCAGTTGAATCATTACTCAACCAGTTCAGAAAACTCAACAAGGTCAGCTGAATGAAAGGAGTCTGTATACCTATCAATTTTATCAATATTTACAGTAAATAAAAAATATATATATAATGTATAATAAAAACACCAGAGGCTTTTATAACTGGAATTACATATTTATTTAACTTAATTACTGAAAATATTGATAAAAATGATAGGTACACCGATTTCTGTGGTTGAATTGACTCACACTATCAAAAAGATAACACCGTCTTTTGAGAATATATGAAGGAAGCCTTCTTTTAAGCATAGCTCATCCCTTGCTACAATTTTACATGCTGTCTATGAAATACCAAATGTAATTCAATCAATCACTTTCTGAGTTCAGTAACTGGCCTTATCCCTGTTAGAGCTTAGTCTTGTAAACAACAAAAGTAACTCAATTGATCCCAACCAGAGCTGGTTTCTGGTCAACTCATAACCTGATCGACTCATAACCAAGTCAACTCGAACCCAATATGTTGTTAAAATCTCTTACATTTAATAGCAATGATGTAAAATTTGTAAATAGTATGTTAACATTCAAGTAATATTTTCCATTTAATATGACAAACATGAATGTTTGAACTATAGAACATAAAATATAACAATCTAAAATCCATAGTAAAAATACTTTGATTTACTATACAGTGAAAACTTTGATACTATAGTTAACTATAATAAACTATAGTTAATTAAAGTATATTTTTGTTACTGTCGGTTATAAATACCCGGTACTTGCAAATTTACTTCGCTATATCTGGAATTTGCTATATCCGTATTATGGATTTCTTAAAGTATATATAGCAAATTGGTAAATATAGATTTTTTTCATTCAAGTGTGTCTACCAAATGAATTTAGGGAAGTATAAAATACAAAATTTACTTTGAAATTCAAAAGATTGTGGAAGAACTGATTTTTAAATATAAATACTTACAAAATTAAGGAATTGATAAGAATTTTGCCAGGGATTGCAAAAAATTTTGTTATATCTGTTAATTCACTGTATCCATAATTGTACTAAATGAGTTTTACTTTAATATGTACATTGTTATTCTGGAAGATTTATTAATTTGCATAATTGAAAGAAGTTAAACAAGAGGCCCAAGGGCCTTAATGGTCACCTGAGTACAACAATTTAGAGGATCTATAAACTGAAAAATGAAGCTTTAATTGTTGCCCAATAGCAAGAAAATTAGTACATGTACCATGAAGATCAACAAAATAATTGGTCTAGTATCTTTCTATCTGTCCCCCATTTATCACTATTACCATGCAGACTTTTAACAATATGTCTATATTATTACCCCCTCACATTGGCCTCACTTGGCCTTTGAAGAATATTTAAGACGATAAGTTATTTTTGTTTCATTTTTATTTATCTATTATTTCCAAGTCTACCTGATTATTAAAACTATGAAAGTACTTTTTATATTATACAATAAATGTTCTTGCATAATTCTCTTATTCTATTAACCTTTAAATACATTATCTACAGTGATTAATTATCAAAAGTGAATGGCAAAGGGGAATAACTTCACTCAATAGAATACAAATTAATAGAGCCCTGGCCAGGACCAGAACTCTTGAAAAATGGTCCAGATGTTGAAAATTTACAAATTTGGAAGAGGTACCCTCATCATCATAACTATGCAATTAGTTGAAGATTTTCAAAGAATTCACACATTTTCACTACATTATCAAATAGAGCCCCCCCCCCCCCTCTCAGATAAACAACAGAACCCCTGGGACCACAAGTTTTAAAAATTTTGTAAAAGCATACTTGCTCATCATAACTACACACTTGTTTCTTTGCTTTATAAGCAGGAGTAGAAAAAAATATTTTGAGAGAAATTATGAATTTTCATTATATAATCAATAGAGCCCCGCCCTAACACCAGAACCCCTCACCCAGGGGCCATGGAATTCACAATTTTGGAAGAGGCAGCCATGCTCATCATAACTATGTACTTACTTAGCTTATCTAATACCCAGGAGCAGAAAAGAGGATTTTAAAAGAAATAATGCACTTTCACTATATGATCTATATAGCCCCACCCTAGCACCAGAACCCCTGACCCTGGAGCCATGAATTTCACAATTTTGGTAGAGGGCTCAATTCTTATTACAATCATGCCAGCAGTTTGACTGCTTGATGTCCAGGAGTAAAGAAGAAGATTTTTAAAGATTGCATTAATTTTGGTGGTTTTAGCCCCACCCCTCAGGCCCCAGGGGGGCAGGGACCATGAAATTCACCATTTTTGTCCCCCTTCACCCAAAGATGCTATATGCCAAAATTGGTTGAAATTGGTTGAGCGGTTTCAGAGAAGAAGCTGAAAATGTTTAAATGTTAACGCACGACGACTGACAAAAACAGATAGCAATAAGTCACCTGAGTGACTCAGGTGACCTTATAAAACCTGAAAAATATGATTAGTATTGATGACTGAGAACCTTGAAGGAAGCAGAATTATGCTCATTTCCCATCAATCACTAAAGGTGTGACATTTCTGCAGGGATGTAGCATCGTTTTTTCAAAATGAGGATCAGCCCCGCCCCCCCCCCCCCCCCCCCCCAAAAAAAAATCCCTGAAAACAAAAGCCTGAAAATGCTAAAATTGAAAAATCTATTTTTCGGGGAAAGCGGTGTTAAAAGCCCCAACCACCCAACCTACACCCCCCCCCCCTTCCACCTGTCCTGTGTTTTATGCATGAAAACTGTTAAGTTCATATTTTATGTACTGTAAACTCATAATCACATTAACAAGAGGCCCAAGGGCCTTAACGGTCACCTGAGTACAATACAACAACTTAGAGGATCCATAGAGTATTAAAATGAAATGAAAGGTGAAGCTTTGTTGCCCAAAAGCAAGAAAAATAGGGTGACCAGGATCAACAAAATAATTAGTCTACTATTCATTAACAGTTCATAAATTAGGTTCTAATCTGTTCCCCAATTATCACTATCACCATACAGTATATTACCAAACTATCAGTGCTTTTGTACTATTTTAATTCCTTGTTGTAATCTCTTACATTGGCCTCTCTTGGTCTTTGATGAACATTTAATAAGACAAGTTATTTTTGTCTCATTTTTATTTATCTATTACTTACAAGTCCACATGATCATTAAAACTATGAAAATACTTTTTGTATTATACAATAAAAATTCTTGCATAATTCTCTTATTCTATTAATTTTTCATGTACATTATTTACAATGATTAATTATCAAAAGTAAACAGCAAAGGCGAATAACTCCTTTCAGTAGAATGCAAATTAATTGAGCCCTGGCTAGGACCAGAACACTTGACCAAATGGTCCAGATGTTCAAAAATCTGGTAAAAATACCCTTCCTTATTACAACTTTTACACTTTTTGCGTCTGATATGCCCAAGTGCAGAGAAGATTTTTAAAGAAATAATGCATTTTCACTACAGATTCACTATATTATCAATAGAGCCCCTCCCCCCCCCCCTTCACCACCGAGAAACACCAGAGCCTCTCACCCTGGGACCAGAAGTTTCAAGTTTGCTCATCATAAGTAATCACTTTGTTTAACTGCTTAACATTAAGGAGCAGACAGGATCATTTAATAGAATTAATGCATTTTCACTACATTATCAACAGCCCCACCCTTATACCAGCACATCTGACCCAGGGGTCATGCAATTCACTACTCTGGAAGAAGCACTCTTGCTCATCATAACTATATACTTAGCTTCTTTGTTTTTTAACCAGAAGCAGAAAAGAATATTTTCAAAGAAATTTTGATTTTTCACTATATAATCAATAGAGCCCCCCCCCCCCCTTTTGACAAGGATCCTTGACCCTGGGGCCATGAGATTCACAATTTTAGAAGAGGCATCCTTGCATATCATAACAATGTACTTAGTTTGTTTAAATAGTACCCAGGGGCAGAGAAGATGATTTTCAAAGAATTAATTCACCTTCACTGTAGGAGCTATATAGCCCCACCCTAGCACAAGAACCCCTGTACCTGGGGCCATGAATTTCACAATTTTGGAAGAGGTGTCCTTGCTTATCATAATAATGTACTTAGTTTGTTTAAATAATACCCAGAAGCAGAGAAGAAGATTTTTAAAGCATTAATGCATTTTCACTATATAATAAATAGAGCCCCGCCCTTACATCAGAACCCCTGACCCAGGGGCCATGAAATTCACAATTTTGGTAGAGTTACTCTTGCTTATCATAACTATGTATTTAATTTGTTTAAATAATACCCAGGAGTAGAGAAGAAGATTTTCAAAGAAATAATGCACTTTCACTATATGATTTATATAGCCCCCCCCCCCCCCAGCACCAGAACCCCTTACCCTGGGGCCATGAATTTCACAATTTTGGTAGAGTCACCCTTGCTGATCATAACTCTGTATCTAATTTGTTTAAATAATACCCAGGAGTAGAGAAGAAGATTTTCAAAGAAATAATTGCACATTCACTATATGATCTATATAGCCCCACCCTAGCACCAGAACCCCTGACCCTGGGGCCATGAATTTCACAATTTTGGTAGAGTCACCCTTGCTTATCATAACTATGTATTCAATTTGTTTCAATAATACCAAGGAGTAGAGAAGAAGATTTTCAAAGAAATAATGCACTTTCACTATATGATCTATATAGCCCCGCCCTAGCACCAGAACCCCTGACCCTGGGGCCATGAATTTCACAACTTTGGTAGAGGGCTCAATGCTTATTACAATCATGTCAACAGTTTGACTGCTTGATGTCCAGGAGTAAAGAAGAAGATTTTTAAAGATTGCATTAATTTTGATGGTTTTAGCCCCACCCCTCAGGCCCCAGGGGGGCAGGGACCATGAAATTCACAAATTTTGTTCCCCTTCACACATAGATGCCATATGCAAAAATTGGCTGAAATTGGTTCAGCGGTTTCAGAGAAGAAGCTGAAAATGTTCAAATGTTAACACACGACGCACGACGGACGACGACGGACGAAAACGGATAGCAATAGGTCACCTGAGTGACTCAGGTGACCTAAAAACATAGAACTATTTTCCCAATATTTATCCTTTACAAAAATCTTATGTTAATACATAGTCAACTCCTATCCAGACACATGGAATTTACATTCAAACAACTTCACTTCTTCCCTCGAAAATCCAAGAGTGAACTCTTCATTGAACCAGGGTCTTAGTTTCAAGTTGACTATGCCATTTGGTTACGAGTTGACATGTTTGGTTTGAGTTGACTTAGTTACAAGTCGGTAAGTTAACTTGACACCCCAAAGCTTAGTCTTGTATTTAGAATAAAAGTAACTCAACTGATCCCTAACAGAGTCCAGTCTTGTTATGGCAGTAGTAATTCTACCAACCCCTACCAGAGCTTATTTAGTATTGTAATAGCAGAAGTATCTTACCCGATCCCTTCCCGAGCTCAGTCGTGTACTGGCACTTCTTCTCGGTGGAGCAGGTCTCCTTGTGGACTGGAATTTCAAAAGATGAAAAAGACAAATTATTATACAACAGTCATTCTCCTTATAACAATGATGATTAAAAATTTAATACATCTCTGCAGAAAATGATGAAAATACACATATTCTTTGTTAGATACTTGTGTACTTTTACTTTGTCACAATAAAAAAAACATAGGAAATCAAGGCTCACCTTGACAAATGTTATCTATAAGGAAGGCAAACTTCACATCAATTATTTTCTAGTTAGTGTGTATCCCGAGATCAATATCCATGTAAGTTTGGTATCAGTAGAACTTATAGTTACTTGGGAATGGACCAGCTCAAAAAACTTTAACCTGGTCACCCATCCAGAAAATGTGGGGCAATCCAGCATTCGAAGCAAGCCTGGTAGTGTCCATCCCTAGATGTTTCATTCAAGCTAGTTTGGTTCAATTATAGGGCTAATATTCAATCGTCTAGAAAATGTTGGTCAGATCCAGCATCCAAAGTAGATTGGATAATGTACATCCCTAGATGCATCATCAATGCAAGTTTGGTTCAGGTAAGGGCTAATATTCATTCATCTAGAGAAAGTAGTTCAGATCCAGCATCCAAAGCAAGTCTGGTGGTGTCAATCCCTGGATGCATCATTCTATGCATGTTTGGTCGAGGTGGGCTTATAGTTACTTGGGAATGAACTTGCATCTAAAACTTTAACCTAGATGCCCATGCCAATGCTGGGAGTATAACATAAACTCATCTCAACTTTGTCAAGGTGAGCTAAATATATTTTCCATGCCATCTTCCTTTTTAAACCATGAAGTAAGATAAAATCTCTTAGTGTTAAGAGTATGTAAATCCTGCACTACTTAGCAGGAGAAAAAAAGTAACAACAATCTCCTTATTTCGAGATGTTGTTTTTTTTCTCTTGTTTTACCTTTTCTCCTGGAATGACATCATAAATTCCAGACTGGGAATACATTTCCCTGGGACTGAGGGGTGGACTATCAGGGGAGATAAATGCTCCACAGGGAGGGGCAGGTAACCCACGTCTTTGCTGAACACTCATGTCTGACATTACATTGGCAACATCGGCGTAAGATGAGTCTTCCTCACTTTCATCATCTTCTGAAACAAAAACCAATGTCATCATCATCATCATCATCATCATTATCATCTAAAGTTATATTGTTATCATCTGAAACAAAAATCATTGTTACCATCATCATTGCACATTGAATTCAACATCTGAAAATTATTATCATCTCTATAAATGTAAATAATGAACATTATCGTAATCTTCACCATCTGAAAGGATTCAAGTTATTGATTTTATTTTGCCATTATAATTCTTGTAAAATCATGCTTTTAAAGCCCAGGTAAAAGCAAATTACAGGTTCAACTTTATCAATCATCATCTATCTGAGGTTTGTGTTAAATTTAGTTTTAAATTATCAGACTATCAAATACATCATCATCAAATTTAAGTCACATATTTAAATTACCTTCAACTCGTCAAATGTTCACACAAACACTGTATCTAAGCTATCCCAGTAGCTAATTAAAATAACAACACATTGCTGTGAATCGGGCCACTGTTTTAAACAATCTACTTTTATTAGCTACTATTACCACTATTACGCAGTGAGAGAAACCAGCCGAAAAAAATCATTACTTATGAGCAGTCACACTGTACAGTTATATAAGGATGTATTCGATACTCCAGAAGTTTGTTGACACACTGACAATGGAAAGGAAATAATAGAAAGTTATAATATCATATATATAGATCTACAAAAAATATACAATTATATTAATTTGCTTCTTTCAAAAATATGTTTTTAGTTTGATTCGTTCCAGTAACCCTATACATGTGTACTTAAGCTTCTCTTTCTCTTACCCCCTCTAAATGTTTAAATCCTTCGTGCAATGAGCTGTAAAATCACCAAGAATGCATTCAAATTTTGAAATTCATTTATCATTAATAAAAAAGTGAATATTATTAAACATTTTTGAAAAAAATATAAGCAACAATCTAATTCTATGATTTAAAATTTTAGCTCATTAAATAAGAGATGAGTATTTTGTTTGTCAACAGGACATCTTTAAGGAACTGTGAACATGACTTCACCTTCAACCCGAGCAAAAGCTGCAAATAGCTATCAAGGATAACCAAGTCTTTCATAAATATTGCATTAAAAGTACACCACTTTGTGTATCTACTATGAATTATGACAATAGTATGGAATCTATATTTGATTGATAATTTGATATATCCTCCAAAGTTAAAGAATTAAAACTAAAATATCTGGCTTTGGGGCCACCAATGCTGAAATTTTCTCAAATCTGAGATTTCTCAGAAAATTTGAGTTTTTCTCACCAAACTGTGCCACCAATTAAATATTTTCTCAAACTCAGACTTATCTTTTGAGTTTACTCTCAAATCTGAGAATTTTCTCAAACATTCGTGCCACCATTGTTTTTTTTCGACTCAGCTGAGAAAAAAATCTGAGATTTCTCAGAAAATCTTGAGATAGGTACATATTAGTCTCAAATAGAATCTCAAAGAATTATTTTACGGTAAAATGGTTGCAATATTATGACAGTGCATACTTTAATCCATGAATCAGGGTTGTCCCTAAGACCCAGGGGCCGGGGAATTTCCCTGTCTATAATGATGTGATCCCCCGGTTATTTTGGTATGCTTCCTAAATTCCCCATTAGGGGAGGAACCCCACACATGTGAGTTAAGGCTAGGTATAGGCGTATCTATGCAAATGAGCTAATAAAAAAGGATAAGAGGTATATTTATTATTCAGAGAAAGTGTTGATTTATGTTCTTATGCATACTTAGTACCCACGACATGTTAGAGCCAGTACACATTATGACGTCATATTATGACGTCACTGATCTTCCCTACTGGATATAATAAAACACATCAACAAAACAGCTTCGGCGCAAGGGATTACCCTATTTATTTTTACATAAAAATTGTATAATGCTAAGAAGAATAGTCTACAGATTAATAAAACTGCTGCACAAATCCTAGGCATTTTCTCATTTGTTCGGATTTTGAGGAAACTTATACCGGACTGTACATTTTTACCCTTATTCAACTTAAAACTTTACAAATTGAAATTATACCACTGAGCTGTTGATCTTTGTGCAGCAATACCAGCAAACTTTGGAATCTTTTGCTTCTAAATATACCTTGTTTCAGTTAAATTAAATAGAGCATGCCCTTGCGCCGAAGCATTTTTGTTGATATCCATTACAATCTTGTGTAGTAAAGAACAATGACGTCATAATATGACGTCATAATGTGTACTGGCTATCTCACGTCGTAGGTACCAAGTATATATTAGACAATAAGTTTTAACTTTCTCTGTAAAAAAGATATAGTCCTTAGGCATTTTAATTAGATTATTTGCATAGAAATGCCTATACCTTGCCTTAACTCACCTGCGCAGATCTCCTTCTACTTCTTAAATGTCCCCTTCTATTTCAATTCATAGGGACAACCCTGATGAATACACAAAATTAACATGCAAGCACAGAAAGCATGTAAATTCTTCCCAAAAGATCATCCTAGCTGTGATATACCGTATTAAAGAAAGGGGGGGGGGGGGGGGTCTTTCGCACATGTAAAAAATCTTATTATATTGTCCAAGCATTGAAACAATGCATTTGAAACTTTATGAAAAGAAAAAAAAGGAAAATAAGGAAAAAATAAAGAATTAAACAATATTTTTTGTGGCACGTTATACATAACTGATCGATATCCTCCAAAGTTAAAGAATCAACTGTAAAATACCTGGACAGGTGAAAGGTCTACGTGAACCCTTCTGAAAGCTTAGCTGACCTTGCTTCATCCTAATGCAACACTTTGGTCATTAAAAACAAACTGGCTGATTGTAAATCATAAAATTTATATTTTGATATTCTGTGTGAAATTTATAGGTTGTTACTTTAAATCAAATTTTAAATCTCACATTTGCACATAAGACAAAAACAACTTGACATTCTACGGATATCCCCGACACATTTTTATCCTGCGTTAAAACATTTTGGAGTGTTTCCTTCCCATTAAGAAAACATTCTAGAGAGAGTTTTCTTCCCATATTAGAGACACAAACAATACTTGTGTACAGTGTTTTCTTAGTAAGTAAAAATGAAGTCAGTGTAACCTACTTCCTGAGTATCTAAGTTTATTGTTTTACAGGAAGTTATTGTCTTCGTTCACAAATGATCCTTTTGTTATATTTTACATCTTCAGTTATCAATTTATTTTATGTTGACTTAAACTATGTTGAAATTATATTCTAAAATATAGGTATATCATGTAAGAATTAATTTTAATATCTTTTCTAAGCAGAATAATTAATTAACCTACAAAATCATTACCTCAAATTTCTTTTTTTTTTAATTTCATTAGAGCTGTATTGTCTTATAATACAGCCATGTTTCAGACTTCTTCTCATCCTATGGGCAATGCTTTTTTTGTCAGTGATTTTATGACTATACAGACATTCCTGTGGAAGCCCCCCACTTGTGTCCTTGTCAGTTTAATTAGAAACCTGGGTGTTGTTAAAAATCACCAGAACAAATTAACAACAGCTGATACATCACACCTGTCTTATTACAACAGTCCCTTCTAGACTTTAAAAGTAGAGGATTAAATTTGATTTAACATTCTCCATTCTATCAAGACAAAAAAAGAATAACAAATAGAAACTGCAGTTTCCATTACAAACATGTTTGTCAATTAATGTTACCCTCTGCTCTCAATGCCAGTTTTGATGGATTGATACAAGAAACATGTCTGAAAGAATTTCATGCTGCAGCTTTCATGTCATTAGAATGGAAATCAATACACATCGTCCAGAAAATCTGTGAATCCCTGACTAAACATTACACAGCCAATCTTCCCATGTTACAAGTCACATATATTTGTCTGATGCTTTAAGATCCTTTATCATTAAGAGACTGTCACCTGCAAGTTTGCTATTTGTAGTCTCTGCCATACACATCATAAAAGCATACTGTGCATTACTGGTCAATTTTAAAATGACATTGATCTGATACTTGGAATGTAAGATTAAGAGGACACCAGTTACAGATTTCAGAAATCAATGACAACAACAAAGACCCAGCCACTGGACCCTCAAGAGACTGCTGACTTACCTGTGTACAAGTGACAATCCTGGCTAACACACCATCTGACCCCAAATGACCCACTGACAACAAAGAGCCCTGCACCAATACACCACAGTCAGTATTTCTTAAAATTTCTATAATTACTGACATGTGCTTTGTAACAGTCCCAGAGAAAATTAAGTGGGTCGTACCATTCCACAGTGACAGGGGGGATGTCCCTCATGCATGGCGCGGTGAGATGCACATGCTAGGAAGAGTTGACTGTATGGATTGGGGGAGCTACTAGCTGCCTTTGTCATTATTGATTCTGTTGTAATGTCATTAGCTGTCTTCCCGCAGAGTGCTCTCAGCAATTAATGGAGCAAAAACTGACATGCTTCAGTGCCTTGAAAATAAATATCTAAAAACCTGCCACAGACAGATATAGAGTCAGCAGATGTTTACCAGAAAGGGGGAGGATTGATTTAACCAAATGTCAGCTGTGATCCATTAGGAGCGAACTCCTGGATTCCCTGAAGTAGAAGGGTGTGGGGGGAATGGGGGTGGGGGGAATGGGGGGGGGAGTCTCAGAAACCTTTCCAACCCATAAACAAATCATAACAAAATAAATTACTCCCTATGTATAATTGAGAATTGAATCTTTTTAGGTTTTCAAAAGATATCAGAAAATAAAGAATTACATTGTTTTGAAGGTTAGTACAATATAACATTAAGCTTTACATCTACAATCTAAAAAAACTAAAAAAAAAAAAAACATTTAACACATTTTAAAATATCTGAGAATTTTAAGAGTGAACTGATAACTGATAAATCATACTGTAAATTCAATTAACGTGACATATAATGATCCCATAGACCAAAATGCTCACCCAAATTGCCACTAATACATGTAATCCCACAAGTAGTTGATTCTCACTCATACATTGTATATAAATAATCTCTTTCACACACCCTAACAAATCCTCTCACTGGTATCTCACACTTAAATGTATATATTTTGGTTGTCCCGCTGAATCGTAGATCGTAGACTAATTAAAGCAACTTGCATAAAAATGATATATCATATTTCATTGAAATTTTCAGCATGTTTTTAACTACCACTTCCCAATAATTTGAAAAAATATGCAAAATATAATTGACAAAAAATAAATAACAAAGCAATTAAGAACTTTTTAATGACATATGGTATTTTTATAAAGTGTATGACCAAAAACATAATTTTTTTGAGATCTAAGTATTTCTTTATGTTAAGGAAGAAATTATTCATGTTTTTCAATAGCATTAACTTTGAGATAATTCTGCAAGTTTTTAAAACATCTGATATATCTCTTTTTAAGATATGATTGGTGTTTAAAGTGGAAAAAAATAAAGTTAGTTATTGCCAAGGATGCAAATGACTATGGAAAATGTAGGTCAAATCCAGCATCTGAAGCAACTCTGATAGTGTGCATCAATAAATGTATTTTTGGTGCAAAGTTGGTTAGCATAGGACTTACAGTCATTTTAGAAAGAAACTGCTCCAAAAACTTAATCTGGCCACTCATCTGGAAAATGTAGGTCAAATTCAGCATCTGAAGCAAGTCCAGTAGTATGTTCCTAGATGTATCATCCATGCAAGTTTGGTCCAGGTACGGTAAATACCAAAAACTCTAACTTGGTCACTCATCCACAAAAATTTAGGTCACATCCAGCCTCCGAAGCTAGCCTGGAAGTATGCATCCTTAGATGTACCATCCATGCAAGTTTGGTCAATACAGGACTTATAGTTACTTGGAAATGAGACCTGCTCCAACAACTTTAACCTGCTTGCTCATCCCGAGAATGTAGGTCAGATCCAGCATCTGAAGCAAGCCTGGTGGTGTGCATCCTTAGTTTGATCAATATAGGGCTTATAGTTACTTGGAAATGAGACCTGTTCCAAAAACTTTAACCTGCTCCAAAAGCTTTAACCTGGTCATTCTTCTGCTGAAATTGCAGCATCTGAAACCTATACTTAAGGAATGAATTTAATAGCTATCCAAGTTATACTTGTATTACCTGGGTTGGAACAGTTTACGCTTTTTTTTTATAAACCGCTTAATTTTGTAATTTAATTTTTCATCATTAAGTGTAAAAAATGAGACAATTTCTCCTTCAAAAATGCCTTCAAATTGTACATATTTTAAATGTAACGTCAAGTGGATTGATACGTTTTTGACATATTAAGTCATTGTGACATAGGCAACGCAGGTTATACGATATATTCTAATTTATTTTATCCAATCAAATGATGCATTACAACCAAAATTAAATTATATCTGATTAATGTCGAGCATAGAAGTACTTGATAAGAAATCAGATCCAAAAACTTTAACCTGGGACGCCGACGCCGAGGGTATTACATAAGCTCCCCCCAACTTCATTCAGGTGAGCTAAAAAGGACACTTAAGGTTTAAAACTAAAATGTATAAGATCTCCCAACCCCCACCCCAAGCCTATGACCTAAAAACAAAGATAAAAATCTTGTTACAGTTGTTCGAGAAGTGGTCAACATTGACCATCAGAAAACTAAATGAAAAGAAAAACAGCATACTGGGTTAGATTTGGCAAGATCACTTTTCAGCAAATTGTCAAAGAGATTGGAATGATATAAACCAGCTAGGGTGACATTTATTAAGAATTTAAATTCAGTTTGGTTTCAAAATGTGTGTAACAGATATCTTAAACTCCATCAAAAAAACGTTTTGCATGCTGGAGAAAATTCTACAACTTTCCCCCAGAACGAAATGACACTGAATTCCATTGCTCCGGTTGGCCAAACAATTAATGCACAACCTTTTCCTTTGACCTGTTTTTATTTGAAAACATATTGGATTGAAATTAATAATGTATACCAGGTAATCCAAAGCAAAGTAAAGATTTCAGGAGAATGTGCTCATTACTCTTCTGGTAATGTGCAAAGCCTACAATTTAATGGGAAAACTCTAATATACAAAGAAAATAAATACCTATTTGGGAGGCAAATCAAAACAAGAGGCCCATGGTCCACATTGCTCACCTGAGAACATTGGCTAAGAAAAAAGCAAAAAAAAAAAACAGTTCATTATTGAACAGCTTAAAAGCATAAGTGGTCCTGACCCACCCCTAAAACAAGGGGGGGGGGGGGGGGGTCATGATTTTAACAAAATTGAATCTACACTTACTAAGGATGCTTACATATTTCTTTGGCTGACTGTCCTACAAGTTTGAGCTTTCATTGTGGCCCCACACTACCTGTGGGGGTCATGAATTGAACAAACTTGAATCTACAGCACCTGAGGGTGCTTCCATATATCTATGACCAATCATTGCTTTGGTGTTCTCGAGAATAAGATTTTTGAAGATTTTTCCTATAAACTCCTATGTTAAACTTTGATTCTCCATTGTGGCCCCACCCTACCCCCGGGGGTCATGTTTTGAACAAACTTGAATCTACTCCACCTGAGGATGCTTCCGTATAAATATGACCAATCATGGCTTTGCTGTTCTTGAGAAGAAGATTTTTCCTATATATTCCTATGTAAAACTTTGATCGTCCACTATGGCCCCACCCTACCCCCAGGGGTCATGATTTGATCAAACTTGAATATACACTACCTGACAATGATTCCACATGAGTTTCATCTTTCCTAGCCCATTGGTTCTCGAGAAGAAGATTTTTAAAAGATGCCATTAATTTTTCACTATTTTGTAATTATCTCCCATTGGAAGCGGGCTAGGCCCTTCATTTGAACAAACTTGAATCCCCTTCACTCAAGGATACTCTGTGTCAAGTTTGGTTGAAATTGGCCCAGTGATTCTTGAGAAGAAGATGAAATTGTGAAAAGTTAATGACGACGACAACAACGATGACAGACAACGGACAAATTTTGATCAGAAAAGCTCACTTGAGCCTTTGGCTCAGGTGAGCTAAAAATTGCACCATTATAAAGTATCTTCTCCCACACATTATCTAACTTAATTTTTCAACATCTCCCATAGGTATATGAATCTTCTTTCATTGAGGACATAATTTGCTTTTTGTATTAATAAACTTCTTTGCTTTGCACAAAAGCCTCTATACATTAAAGGTCAGACGACACGTTCCTCTAATACATGTATCTGTATTTGCATTCCTTTGTAATATAACAAAAATATTTATAATTATCACTATATCTTCATTTCTAAATTATTTTCAAAATATCTGAAAAATAAATATAAATTAATTAACCAAAAATCGTGATATCAGCAGTTCTCGTGATTTCCAGTACAGGATTATATAGGAAATGCTACCCCTGGGATCTTGCACAAATGCCTGGTAATGTATCTCCATTTTTTGTGAGGGAACTTCGTAAAGTAGCAAAATTTCAATCAAAACATCTTGTGAAAACATATACATTTTTGAGGAACATGTCGTCTGACCTTAATACAAGACATAATGCTTAGTACCATGACTACCTCATGATTATCTACCCAACACTCACTCTTTTGTGGCAAAGTCAAAAAAGCACTAAATCTTGCAGATTTCTGGGATGTAACAATCATGACAATCATATGACAATTGAACGATTCAAACAAATAAAATGTAAAAAGAAAAATGTATTGCTGAGGGTTGCACTTCAGATAGTATATCATCTAATTTGGGATGCTTAAAGTATTTTATTGACATTTAAAGATTATCAGAGAGAAATGGTTGAATTGTTAGCAGAGTTGGCTTAACAGAAAGTATCAATAGTAGTACAAGAGAAGAAGACTTGCTCTGAGGCCCGTAAGATTTATTAGCATGATTCACTGAATATTCAGCAAGATATTTCACCAGGACTTCTTTATTATGTGTTCTTAAAAAATCCTCAGTGATCAGATCTCATTTCCTGTCTCCATCGCAAAAAAGAGGGTTCCATTAAGTAATTGTGATATCAAGTTAATAAATTTGTGCAATTTAATATCAATTTCATATGTCTACTAAAGAAAAGGGTTGTCTTAAAAGTTGTGTGACCTTTGTCAAATTTGATATTTGTTTTTGCTTTTCCACTAAAGATTACAGTTTTAAACTCAGCAGATGAATGCCATGCAGACAGGTGGACAGACAATGAAACCATGGCAATATAAAATATAAGTATATAACACTGACCGGATCTGTCTCCTGGAACTTGGTCATACTGGTCCAGGATATCATCTAAACTCTCTAGAGATCCCTGAACATCTGCTTCTCTGAAAAAACAAAACAAATCTACAATTTCATTTACCAAATAACTAAACACTATCTGAAGAGAATACTGGAGAAAATGTGAGTTGTTGTTTTCTCTTTTAATAAACAAACATCAAGAGAATACTGGAGTTGAGAAATTGTTATCAGAGTTGTCTCTCTTTCATCAAATTCAAAAGGTTAGACCACAAGTGTTTGTCTGCATCATAGACAACAGCTGTATGAGCATGCACTAATTTTTTCTTTCAACCTTCATTATGTGTTCTTTTCTTATCTATTCCTTTGTAAAAATTTATTTCCACTTTGTCCACACCGCATATGTATTCAGAATGAACTCTAATTATATGATGTAATTTTCAGAACAATTAATTTCAAGTAGATTGTTTTATTTTGAATTCTTTATTAAAACACAAAAACTTAAAAACTTTCCGTCACTTGATTCTCACTCACTGTATAATGATGATTGCATATGTATTTTATATGCAAAACAAGAGGCCCATAGGCCACATCACTCACCTGAGCACTTGGCTAGAGAAAAGCATGGACAGAGTTGCAAATAACCACTCGCAAATGCCAGTAATATTGTCTATGGGCGAACAACTCGAGTATCTTACCACCCACATTGTGAGGTCTCAAAGTGAAGGAAAATGCATTAAGCATGGAATATCATACAAGTGGTATCAAAATCCACAGAAAAATGAAAGAAGTACATGTACTTTTTGGAGATTTTGATACAAAAAAAATCAAGAATTTTTTTTTACTACATGGACAGAAGATTGTGGGCCCATAAGTATCAATGTGGGCTAGTAAAGCTTGTATAGTTGTGGGCCCACATGGCTCCTAAGCTTTTAAAAGTCATTTGCAACTCTGATAGGAGGCATGATTTGAACAAACTTAAATCTATACTAACTGCAGATGCTTCCATATTTCTTTGTCTAATGGTTTTAGAAAATTTTTACAGATTTTTGTTGTATATATTTCTATGTAAAAGTTTGATCTTCTATTGTGGCCCTGCCCTACTCCCGGAGGACACGATTTGAACAATGTTGAATGTTGAATCTACACTACCTGCATGATGATGCTTTTGTATCAATATGACTAATCATGGCTTTGTTGTTCTTGAGAAGATTTTTAAAGGTATTTCCTATTTATTCTTATGTATAACATTGATCCCCTATTGTGGCCCCATCCTATCAAACGGGGACCATGATTTGAATAAATTTGAATCTACACTACCAGAGGATGCTTCTGTATTAATATGACTGATCATGACTTTGCTGTTCTTAAGAAGATTTGTAAAGGTATTTTTTTATTTATTCTTAGGTATTGTATTGATCCCCTTTTGTGGCCCTACCCTACATGTACCATACAGGGGCCATGATTTGAACAATTTGAATCTACACTAGGTAGTGAAGCTTTCACATAAGTTTCAACTCTTCTGGCCCAGTGGTTCTTGTGAAGAAGATTTTTTTAAAAAGATGCCATTAAATTTTTACTAATTCTTAATTAGCTCCCCTTGAAAGAGAATATTGCCCTTCATGTGAACAGATTTTAATCCCCTTCACCAAAAGATGCTTTGTAGCAAGTTTGGTTGAAATTGGCTCAGTGGTACCAGAGAAGAAGTTGAAAATGCAAAAAGACTTCACACGACACATGGCAGATGACGTACAGAACATCAGCACCAAAATGATTTTAAGGACTCTTACTCTGTATCTTCTTGCAGCTTGTGAACTCTGACCTCATCATGTTCTCGCTGATACTGTATCCAGGAAGTCACCTTATCATGCTGCAACGCCATCTGGCGACACAATTCTTGGACTTTTGTCTCATTCATCTTCATAGAAATCTTCTGTAGCTCTGCAAATTTTTTCTTGGCCAAATATCTCCTGACAGCTTTAAAAGAATTTTAAATCTCAAAATCTAGGGAAGGGTGGATTAAAATACCAAGATAACATGATTTTTAAGCTGTCAAAATTGAGACATGCTTGTTTTTTTAAAATACAAAATTTCTGTCATGAATGTACAAGTTACTCCTAGAAGAAGGAATCCAATTTAAATATTCCTCCTGTATCCTCCATATGAATTACAAATGAAAGATAACTGCTATTAGTGCAAGTGAATCTTCAACTGCATTAGTACAGTATCAAAAACTATCCTTTGATTGTAATCTAATACTTATCCATATCCTTTCTCTATGTACACTATATATTATGCCTGACCTGATTCGCAATCTTAAAAATAAATCTGATCAATATAATGACCTTGATGTAGATGACAGAGCAGGTGTTAGTCTATCTGACAAAGATCTTACCCTGAACTGTGATGATCTTGACCTATCTGACAATTACCTGGACTAAAATAACCCACCCCTACCTGACTGACAAAGGATGATTTTCTTCTTGACTTCATTGGACACTTGGTCAATTTTCCTTAAATCTTCCTCATGGAAAAACACCTTAGATTTTCCAATCTACGGAGATTCAAAGATTTAACATAATTAACATTTTTTTCTTTTTAATGTAATAAAGTTTGATACTTTTATTAAAAATCATTACAGATTCAAGTGCAAAGCACGACTAAATGTGCAAGCAGTTCACGTTAAGGTTCAATTACCCTCTGATAAGAGAGACAACTCTCATTGGGTTTATTGACTGTTACTCCCTTAAAAGTTGTCAAAAGCAATTTCTGTCAAATTTTGCACCACAAAGGTATGTTGAAATTGTTTGCAATCAATTATGATTTTGATATTTTGATATTTTTGGAAAATATATCATAAAAGCAAAATATTTACACAAGTGAACGGAGGAATGATTAACCTTAAATAGCTGTAGATGAAATTAAATTAAATTTGCATGTTTTAATCGAAACAAAAATTTCAACTCCAGTAGAAAACAATGCTCCAAACAACAGAAATTACTGGGAAAACTTCATCTTCTGATTTAAAAAAAAAAAATTATTTATTATTTTCTTATTTATTCATTAGTTTTATTATATTTTTTTATTTTTATCATTTTTTAATTTTGTTTGTTTGTTGTTTTTTTTTTGGTTTGCAGATTGAATCACTACAACTTTCCAACAAGTTTTTGAAACCTAGGATATTTCCAAGCATTTCTGATAACAGGCCCATAGGAAGCAATTTCAGTTGGGGGGGGGGTTACATTTTCAGTTGAGGGGGCACTATCAACTACCAAAAATTCTTTGAAAAGCAAAAAAAAGTTTGTTTAGTTTGTGTTACCTTGTGATGAGCAGAGTTTGTGTTCAGTCCACAGAAGCGGATAACCTCTTGACATTTCTGTTCATCAGGGATCATGCTGTGGGGTGGTACAGCAAAGGTTCTCAGTGTCTCAAAGCTGTCAGCAGAAAAAACAAATATAACTCAAAAATTATTTTAATATGGGTGCCTAATAAGGAAACAAAGTTTCTTTGAATTGATTTTTTTTTGGGTATATTTTGTCAAAGATACATCAAAAGTCAAATGTGTTTAATTCACTTTTCTATAAATGAATTTTTTTAAACAAAGAAAGAAAACAATTTTGCAAAGAGAATCTTTATCTGGTGTTTCTTAACAATTCATTTACAGCAAGCTATGTGATTGACCACATTAAAGTTTAGTTTTCCTTCTAAACACAAATGCAAAAAAAATGTGTCTATGGCTTTAGATTATTGTTGATTTTTAAAAACTTTTTCTAACAAATAATTTAACTAGAGTAAAAGCACAGTAGCTGAACAACCATTATTCTTACAAAGGAAGTACCATCACCAGTCCTGAAGTTGGTACCAGATGATGCACCTTTGACTGTAAGAGATATTTTAGGGACAATATTTTCCCTACTTACACAACTAGGAAGTCAATGAACTTGAATTATGAGTAATATCCATGGTGATCCTGCTTAAATATTTTCCCTACTTACACTTAGAAAGTCCATGAACTTGAGTCAGGAGCAGTATCCATGTAACCACTTTAATTTTTCCTTACTTACACAACTAGGAAGTCTCTGAACTTGAGTCAGGAGTAGTACCTATGGTAACCATATTGTTTTTCTCTTACTTACACAACTAGAAAGTCCCTGAACTTCAGTAGGGAGCAGTATCTATGGTAACCATATTGTTTTTCTCTTACTTACACAACTAGAAAGTCCCTGAACTTGAGTCAGGAGTAGTACCTATGGTAACCACATTGTTTTTCTCTTACACAACTAGAAAGTCCCTGAACTTCAGTAGGGAGCAGTATCTATGGTAACCATATTGTTTTCTCTTACTTACACAACTAGAAAGTCCCTGAACTTGAGTCAGGAGTAGTACCTATGGTAACCATATTGTTTTTCTCTTACTTACACAACTAGAAAGTCCCTGAACTTGAGTCAGGAGCAGTATCTATGGTAACCATATTGTTTTTCTCTTACTTACACAACTAGAAAGTCCCTGAACTTGAGTCGGGAGCAGTATCCATGTTTCTTGATCTTGATTGTCTCTGTGATCCCTGTATACCTCATCTGAGCCAGCACGTACTCTGGGACAAAATGGAGGGGTTTCCTGTCAATGTTGGGTCGGATACAGCGTATAATCTGTGGGGTGGCTGTCTGGATCTTTGTCATCAGGTCTGACAAGGAGTTCTAAAACACAGAGAATTTGTAGGGTCAAACTGCTCTTGGTAGTTTGTACAGTTATAAATTACCATGTTAAAAAATTCCCAAAATTACCTAATAAATTTCTGATCCCACCCCATTTTCCCTATCCGGTAAGATGATATTAAAAATTAAAGAGTACATCAGTTACCTATATTTATATTGAAAGAAAAATGTATATCGAAAGAAAGAAGTGTCAACAGGTGAAAAAAAAAACATGAGTTACTGACCCTGACCTGTGGGCTATAATGCTCACTTGGGTATCCTTTCAAATTTTAACTTATAGCTCCTATAAAGAAGATTTGAGATTTCAATACTTTTAAAGCTGTTCACCAAAAAGAAATGTGATGAACTTCAGACTTCTGTGGGAAGGAATGAGACAAATGTTGTGTCACCAGATGGCACTGCAGCATGATGAGGTGACCAACTCCCCACAAGGTAATTATCAATGAAGTGAATTGAACTGATAAAGGACATCAAAAAAAATCTGTTATAAGACCCCAAATAGCCTTTAAAAGATTCTTTAAGTATAGTAAAGTTTCAAATTCAGATTATGTAAGACTTAACTATACATGAATAATTAATAATTATGAACAGGAAACATAACAATGTACATCACATATATGGGTTTTTGTATGCAAGTAAGGTTCAGCATTTGAACCATATCTGGTTTAAGCATCCTTAGATGCATCATCCATGTAAGTTTGGTCACCATAGGGCTTATAGTAACTTTAAAGTTAGACCTGTTCCAAATACATTAACCTGGTCACTCATCCAGAAAATGTGGGTCAGATCCAACATCCAAAGTAGGTCTGGTAGCATGCATTCCCTAGTGCCTCATCCATGCAAGTATGATTGAGGTACATCTTATTGTAACATTAGAATGAATCTGCTGCTCCAAAAATATCAACCTGTCCATTGATCTGGAAAATGTAGGTCAGGTCCAGCATCTGCAGCAAGTCTAGTAGCGTGCATCCCTAGATGCATCATCTATGATGTCACCAAAGGGCTTTTAGTTACTTCGGAATGGACCTGCTCCAAAAACTATAACCTTGTCAATGTAGGTCAGATCTAGCATATGAAGCATGTGTGGTAGTGTGCATCACTAGATGATTCATTCATGCAAAATTGGTCAATACCCGGGTACATGCTTTACAGTTGGAAATGAGACCTGCTCCAAAAACTTTGAAATCCTCCAAAAACATTAACCTTGTCATTCTTTGGCTGAAAATGCAGAATCTGAAACCTTGACAGGTACAATGAAACATACTAAGAGCATCGTCCATGCATCTCTGATCAATATAGGGCACAGAAGTTCTTGAAAAAAATCTCCTCCAAAAACTTTAACCATTTAAAAATGACCATTGAAATCAAAAACCAAAAGATGGAATTTCCTATATTGGTGATATCCACAAGAGTTGATATACAATGAAATCAGACCAAAATACGGAATTTCCTATCTTAATGATATCCACAAGTGTTAATTTACAATGAAACAAACCAAAATACAGAATTTCCTATATTGGTGATATCCACAAGATTTTTGATTTACAATGAAAAACTGACCAAAACTGTCAAAGGAGTAGCTTTTTGAAAGAAATTCACAGGTATTTCAATATTTATTTATGCCAACAACAATCACTGAAATCAAAAACCAGTGCACAGAATTATGCATCTGATCATCAAAAAAGCCTGCTCATTGTAAGTCACATCTAGTAATTCCAGTATACTGACCTTAAAATGAAAACCCATTGTAGATGGTCCCTTCTTCTCATATGCTACCACAGGGACTACTGGTTTCTTGAAAAAATTACACAAAATATTTATTTACAACAACAAAACAATAGGTAACAACAATACCCACCTGGCATATACGGCTACTCTGCATAAAATATTCATGTTATATGATACAGGCAGTAAGATCATCAGATAGAGAGACACTTAACAAAAATGGGAAGAAAACTCCAAAACTTAAAACTCTCTGAAGAAATTTTTGCATGTATAGAGAATTCTTTCTTTTGAAATTATATTTACAAAAAGTGATATATTTTACTTCTTTTCACTTTTTTTTCCATGTAGGGGTAACATTGTATATCAGATTGCAGAAAAAAGTTTTAACCACTAACCCTAATTCTATGAACAGTTCAATACACTGTACCACTTCCAAAGGAAATTAAAAGGAATTTTAATTGTAGACTTCATTTGTATCAAGCTGCCATGAAGGTTCAATGAACCTCTTCTCAGAGAGATTACTGTCTCTGGAATAATTTCTATTATTACTTTATAAAATTGTCAAGTTTAAAGAAATTTCTCTCGAATTTTGTCCCGCAAAGTGTTCTGAAATTGTTTGTATTTCAGTAAATCAAAATTAGATTCCTTTTGGAAAACCATTAGGGTTTAAACAAATTTTTCATGACTTAACATAGGGAAGATGAATCTAACTCAGAAAAGTTTGTACCTACCTTTTTAGATTTACCTCCCTTGAGTTTTTTGAAGAAGTCAAAAGGAGACTGTTTTGACTTTCTGGATCTCTGTTGCCTAGCGCTAGGAGCCAGGGAACCGGTTCTGGTTATCCGGCTCTGAAACAGCTCCTTTACCAGTAGGCTGTTGCTGGCTGAAAGGTTAATTATAATGGCACTGTTTTCTGTTTCAACAAATTGAAATGTTTATGCAATCCTTTCCTGAGTGAAATAATAAAAAAAGCAATATAATGAACAGTTGAGAGTGACTGCAATCTGATGGGCAAAGAATGAATAGGAATTAAAACATAACTAGAGTGTTCCAAGAAACGCATGTGTGGCCTGCTTTGTAGCTTCATTAAAGATGTAAATAAATCTAAGTGTCAGCATTCTAAAACTTTTCTTGAGAAAATAATTGGCTAGGAACCATATGTAGCTCTATAAGATTTTGGTTTCTGTAAAAATACAAAAGGAGCTTACTCTTCATGGTACAGAGTATGGCATTAGGCATTGTGTCCCTGTTCTTTTCTAACACACCCATCAAATCATACTGAACCACGCCTGCATAATGAACAATTGTAAATCGGGGTCCTCGGTCCTTAGGGGCCTTGTAGACCTCCGGGAACTTTGCTCCTGAAAGAATTTCATTTATTTCATTGCACATGGAGAACATCTTCAAGATACTTTTTTTGTTAAATCATAAACTTAATAGCAATATCTAAAATTTTTCTGAACCATTTTGAATATTTATCTGTAATGCTTCCTTTTCTGATACACTCAAACCTTGTTATCTCGAATTTGATGGGACCGAGAAAATACTTCGAGATATAAGAGGATTCAAGATATCCAGGGTAAAATACTTAAGAAATAAGCGCTTGGGACTTCAAAATCACTTCAATATATCCATGGTATTTGAGATATCAGTATTTGAGATACCAAAGTTCAACTGTATTTACCTGGACCCTGATGAAGTTTGGTTGCCAGAGAAAAATCTGTTCCTTTTGGGAATCGGCTCTCCTCATCTATAATGGCTAGAATTCCTACATTTTTCTACAACATAATGATAGTATGATAAGGACAATGGCAACTCTATTGTGATTTAAATTCTATTCAAATATTTCTATCACTTAATTTATTTTTAACAATGCTGATTTCTTGAGATAATAAATGTGATTCTACCTCCATGAAAGCATCAATGATTGGTTGGTTATTTTTGTAATTTATCTCCACCAATGGCACGCCTTCTAACAAACAATCCTCCTGCTCCTTCATAAATAGATACTCATTGGTGTAACACTGCATCTGCTCATTGGCCAGATTTATACAGATCTGAGAAAAAAACGAAGTTCACAAGAACAGGTAGGTTAAATTACATGTACCTTCAAATTTAAAGATTTTCTTCTGAAATCTGATGATTTTAATTATACCTGCTCAAAACTGTTTCTGTTAAAATTCTCAAATCCAAAGATGTCTAGTATGCCAATCTGGTACTGGTCCCCACTGACAAATAACAAGGAAGAGAACTTCTGTATAATGTCACTGTTTGTAAGGGGAAATATACAAATAACAAGGGAGAGAACTTCTGTACAATGTCACTGTTTGTAAGGGGAATTATAATTGTGTATTGGGAGACATCATAAGTATGTTCTTTTATTATAAGAAGAAAAAACACTTTCTGTGATGGGTATGGGGAAACAACATGAGCAGACTAAGGAGGTTGATGGACAAGTGATAGCCACCTCAGCTGTCTCTCTAAATCTAATGCTAGACTTCATAAGCATATATTAATTAAACAATCATTTTCCTAAATATCACTCAATCCAAATATCATGCAATACTTTTATATCAGGACTGCCACAAGTTCAGCAGCAATAGTACTTCAGTGGAGCAACATGATATCCACTGAAGTAAATCTGGAAACATGTACAAGTCAAATGAACTAGTCTAACAAACAGAGAGACAATATACATGTACATTAAAAAATGCATATTGAAAACTAAATCAAGAAATTAGCTGACAAAACAAAACAAAAAATTCCAAACTCTGCTTGGCTTGACCCAGATTCTGTGGATATTTGAAATGCACTGAAATGAAAAAGTAATGGAACGCCAAAGTTTCAAAGATTTTGTGGCTAGCCGAGAGTAAGCATGCACATTAGAATAATGTGATGCCTGCAGAAACTGTCAAGAACAAAACTTGGTAAACTGCATAAAAAGCTTCTAGCTCAGAAATAAGTTTCTTAGCATTCACTATAAGTGAATTATTCCTTAATAACATTTGTTTAAAAACTTATCTAGTCCCAACACAGGAATCAATACCAACTAAGTGCTTCCAATAGAATAAAATTTGTATTCTAACACAGACATAGCTAGCTAATCTTCACAATTCTTACTTATATAATGATTTGTTTGAAGCACTGAATTCATTTCTCTTGACAAACATCACTTTAAAAAGAGAAAATACAAAGCCACTGACAAATTCAGCCAAGTTTTATCTGACCTTTAATTTCTAAGTTTGACTTGACCCACTGACCTGTGATTTCTAAGTTTGTCTTGACCCAACATGAATCAATGACTTTTACCAATTATGAGTTTTCTATGTTCACTTTGTGTGACTGTTGTGATCCTATTTAAGAGGTAAGAATAAAGAAAATATTAATCAGGATAAATATTAAAATCAAAAATGTTTGAATCCATTATGGCATATCAAAGTTTTGCTATGGCTTTAAAAGTTCAATATCCTAATGGCTGATTTGCGAAACTCTGTCATGAACTGGGTTGTTTGAATATGTTAAGGAATGCACATAGAAAGCATGCAACAAAATCAGCATTAACACCTGGGCATGCAGTAACTGACACCTGGGGAAAATTAAACTTACCTAGAAGCTAAGGAATGGCAGACAGCTACTGGAATTTGACAGTACATGTATTGTTTGTCAGTGTTTTAAGCTTTCAAACATTAAACTTATATATATGTCAGTTCAGATAGCTACTTTTACTTTTTGTAATGAATTTGAAGATTGTAAGAAAAAAAAAATTTCTCCAGTAAAAATATATGTTCACCTGCAGAAAATTTTAAATAAATCTTTTAAACTTAGGAATATGCTGGAAAAGTGTTGTGTTCTATCTGAATCTAAATTTCGTTTTGAAATTTAACATGAAATATGGAATTGGATCATCCTTTCCGATTTTCAGCAAAGAAGAATACTTAGAGAGTCTCACTAGAACCTGACCGATTTTTAACTTGAAATGGTTAGAAACATGAGATACCTGGGGTCAATGGGCTGTATCATCTGATTGATTCCATTAACAATCCAACTAAACAGGCGACTATATATAGCCTTAGCAAGGGCATCGCGGCAATCTCCTGCTTGTTGTTTGGTACGATCCTTCCTAATCTGCTCTCCTGCAAATGAGCAAAAAAGAACATAATTTTTTTTTAAAATAGAACTCTTACACAAGTCAGATATTGTGAAAAAAAGATACATGAAGTGTGCACCAAGACGGCCTATACTGTATGCAGGGTTATTTTCGCCCCGTGTTATTTTTGCCCTTTCACACTTGCAAACAATTTTGCACCATTTAAATTCGCCCAGTAACAGATCTGATTAAGAAATTTTACTGTGTTCTTTGAATTCACTTTGTTTTAAATTCTCCTACCTATGAGTAGGGCAAAAAGGGACGAAAATTTTCCTATATACAATATATAGAGGATCTACTACAGCTATTGTTTTAATGTATCTGCTTTTAAAAAAAATGTGCTTGGGGAAGGAGGTTAATTCTTTACTCCCCTTTCAACAATCAGTACCTACAGTAGGTCATCATCATCCCGCTGTAAGGGCTGACCTTTACACTGGAGACCTTTTACACACTGCACATCAGGAAAACCTCCATTTACCTTGTGCTATAGTAAATATTATCAACTGACATACTGAATAAAACTTAAATAACTAGTTACCTCGTGTCATGGTAAATTCTGCCACCAGGGCTGATCCAAGCTCCTCACTAGAGACATCTAACATACTCGACGCTGAAAAAACAAGAGGCCCAAGGGCCTTAACGGTCACCTGAGTATAATACAACAATTTAGAAGTTAAATACACTGATAGATGAAGCTTTGTTGCCCTAAAGCAAGAGAAGTAGGAAGATCAGGATCAACAAAATAATTAGTCTAGTATTCAGTATCAACTCATAAATTAAGTTCTAATCTTTCCCCCCACGTAACACTATCACCATGCAGACTATTAACAAACTATTAGTGCTTCTGTACTATTTTTAAACCTATATTAAGACCTCTAGCATTGACCTCTCTTACGGTCTTTGAAGAACTTTTAATAAGATAAGTTATTTTTGTCTCATTTTTATTTATCTATTACTTACAGGTCTACCTGATTATTAAAACTAAGAAATTCCTTTTTGAATTATACGATAAACATTCTTGCATAATTATCTTATTCTATTAACCTTTCAAATACATTATTTACAGTGGTTAATTATCAAAGGTGAATGGAAAAGGGGAATAACTTCTCTCAGTAGAATACAAATTAATAGAGCCCTGCCCAGGACCAGAATGCTTAGACAAATGGTCCCGATGTTCAAAAATCTGGTAGAAATATGCTTACTTATATCATTTAAACTTTTACTCAGTTTGCTCCCGATATGCCCAGAAGCAGAGAAGAATTTCACAGGTACAATGCATTTTCACTGCAGATTCAACAAAACTTACCCTAACACCAGAACCCAAGACAAAGGGTCAAGAAATTTACAAATTTGGAAGAGTTACCCTCAACATCATAACTATGTACTTCAAAGAATTAACACTTTTCCACTATATTATCAAAAGCCCCCCCCCCCCCCCCCCCCCCCGTTATGCCAGAACCTCTGACCCAAGGACCACAAGATTTAAAAATTCTGTTCGAAGCTCCCATTTTCATCATAGCTAAGCAATTTATTTATCAGCTCAACACTAAGGAGCAGACAGGATTAATTAATGATTAATTAATATAATTAATGCTTTTTCACTATCTAATCAATAGAGCCCCCCCCCCCCCTTCCTCAAGAACCCAAAAACTGAGGCAATATAATTAAAAATTTTGGAAGAGGCATCCTTGCCTATCATAATCATGCACTTAGTTTGTTTAAATAATCTCCAGTAGCAGAGAAGAAGATTTTCAAAGAATCAATGCATTTTCACTAAATAATCAATAGAGCCCCACCCTAAAACCAGAACCCCTGACCCTGGGGCCATGAAATTCACAATTTTGGAAGAGGCACTCTTGCTCATCATAACTATGTACTTAGTTACTTTATTTAATACCCAGGAGCAGAGAAGAAGATTTTCAAAGAATTAATGCATTTTCACTATATAATCAATAGAGCCCCACCCTAACACCAGAACCCCTGACCCTGGGGCCATGAATTTCACAATTATGGAAGAGGCACTCTTGCTCTTCATAACTATGTACTTAGTTACTTTATTTAATACCCAGGAGCAAAGAAGAAAATTTTCAAAGAAATAATGCACTTTCACTATATGATCTATATAGCCCCACCCTGGGGCCAGAACCCCTGACCCTGGAGCCATGAATTTCACAATTTTGGTAGAGGGCTCAATGCTTATTACAATGATGCCAACAGTTTGACTGCTTGATGTCCAGGAGTAAAGAAGAAGATTTTTAAAGATTGCATTATTTTTGGTGGTTTTAGCCCCACCCCTAAGGCCCCAGGGGGGCAGGGACCATGAAATTCACAATTTTTGTTCCCCTTCACCCAAAGATGCTATATGCCAAATTTGGTTGAAATTGGTTAAGCGGTTTCAGAGAAGAAGCTAAAAATGTTCAAATGTTAACACACAATGCATGCCGACCGACGAGAACGGATAGCAATAGGTCACCTGAGTGACTCAGGTGACCTAAAAAAACAGAAGCCATTTTATTGCACCTTTAATTCAAGGATATACATGCATTGCAATGTATAGGAACACATAAAATGTGTACTTTTTAACACTTATATATATTGTGCCACTGGAAAAATGTGTTCATGATCTTCACATGTGACCTGCCTGTTTACATTGGGATAAGTCTATCCAAATCAACTTAACCTGTAGTTTAACTTTTATAAAACCCACAATACTTAATCTAAGTAATATCAACATCCAAATTCTTACTGAGAATCAACTGAAAATTATCATCTGATGTTATTGTGAAAGAATGATGTCACAATTATGTAATATCTTAACCCACAAAATGGATAACTTGATCCAATGTGGACCTAATGTGAGTTTACCAACAATTACCTGACCTAATTCAGATTAACTTTTTAGTGTTAGACTAGCCCTAAAGTTCCTCCTTCTCAAATTAAGTTTTTTTTTTTAAGAAAATGCAATAATACACAACCTAAATTTAGCTTGTCTTGATTGGAAACTACAGCAGCATCATGGTTTCCATGACTACCAAATGTGACATCACCAAGATGAAGAAGAGCTGCCAACAGCTGGAGAATGTTCTGGATATCCTGAGGACAAGTACACAATATTTCTTATCAAACACTTGTACTTCCATACTATTAGTCTGTATATATACTTCATGTGTATTTAGTAAATAACTCTTAAAAGATACAAGTACTCGCACCTTAGCATGAAACAAATGAGTTTTTCTTCAAAACAGCCATCAATTTTACAATGTTACAAACAACCACTACCAAATTTGAGGCAAAAATCTCTTTCAAAAAAATGAGAGTACTAATATATCTTTATTAAGAAATACCTAGTTACATGATAAAAATCTATCCACATTGGGAGTTTAAGGGGGCTTCTTTCATAGCAAATTACTTAATATGCACCAAATTCATTGACTTACATCAGTGGTAAATCCTATAAACTGTAGACATTGTTTGAGTTCCCAGAACTTTTCTTTATTGGTTGTGTTTATCAGACTTTTCATGTCCAAACCCTTCTGTGCCAAGTATCTGTAGGGACAAAACAATACTTCTATAAAGCATAGAGAGCTGACACAGAAAGAACACCAGTAGCTTTTCGATCCTGGAGGAGAAATAATCAGTTCACTTAAATCACGAGACTTACCTGAGTTGACAGAGACTAAAAAGTTGATACAAAATTACATTTTCTCCTGCGTTTTGTGATGACTGAGAGCTGAAGTATATTTTTCAAGATATTACAGAGTTTATATACAGTCAAACCTGTCAAAGCTACCACCTGTGTTTCGGGACTTCCAGTCATATGCAACCACTTAATTCCTCCAAAGAATTTTTGTTATATTTTACCTGCATTCAGTGACTTCCTGTCTAACGCTACATGCAACCATAATTTTTCTTCCAAAAACAGTTTAAGACCCTAAATTTAGTGACTTTCATCCCTGCTTTTCAGGTCTTGACTTAATATAAGATGTCTTACTCACCTCTGCATTTTGAGATTTTCTGAGTTAATTTTGACCTGGTCACCTATATTTTGAGATGTCCCTGACTTGATACCAGATTATTCTACTCACCTTTGATTTGATATGTCCCTCAACCAATACCAGATTAACCTACTCACCTGTGTTGTGAGATGTCTCCAAGCTGATACCAGATTAATCTACTCACCTGTGATTGAGATGTCTCCGAGCTGATACCAGATTAATCTACTCACCTGTGTTGTGAGATGTCTCCGAGCTGATACCAGATTAATCTACTCACCTGTGATTGAGATGTCTCTGAGCTGATACCAGATTAATCTACTCACCTGTGTTTTGAGATGTCCATGAGCTGATACTGGATTAACCTACTCACCTGTGTTTTGAGATGTCCCTGAGTTGATACCAGATAAACCTACTCACCTGTGTTTTGAGATGTCCATGAGCTGATACTGGATTAACCTACTCACCTGTGTTTTGAGATGTCCTTGAGTTGATACCAGATAAACCTACTCACCTGTGTTTTGAGATGTCCATGAGCTGATACTGGATTAACCTACTCACCTGTGTTGTGAGATGTCCCTGAGTTGATACCAGATAAACCTACTCACCTGTGTTTTGAGATGTCCATGAGCTGATACTGGATTAACCTACTCACCTGTGTTTTGAGATGTCCTTGAGTTGATACCAGATAAATCTACTCACCTGTGTTTTAGATATTCATGAGCTGATACCAGATAAACCTACTCACCTGTGTTTTGAGATGTCCCTGAGCTGGTAGAGGTTGGCTTCTTCTGGTGACATTCCTGAGAACATCCAGTAAAATATGTGATAGTTTAGTTCCCATTCCCCCTGGAACACCACTCTGGACTTCTCCAGCAGGAATTCTGTCAGGTTAGCTTTTAACATAAATAAAATAACAAGAGTCCACTGGAACATAATGCTCACAAGAACAAGATCAATTCAAGATAATGACAAATGAAGCTACTTATTGTGGCCCACATGCCAATGGCCATAACTTCAACAACTCTACAAGTATGTACACATTTTAATGCCTGACTTGTACACTATCTGTAGCATTTCCATTCTTGAAAAGGTCTCTATTAACTTGACATGTGTGAAATTGTTTAACTTCTATTGTTAGCCTACCCTGATCTAACAATCAATAACTTGCTTGCTTCATGCAGGTATGTTAAGGCAGTACCCCGATCATATTTCGGTGAATTTAGACTTTTTTCATAAAATGTAACATTGATAAATCTGAAAAGCCATAGATAAAGCATTTACTATCATTATCCATTGTATAGACGTCATTGAGTCTTAGGCTAAAAGAAGCACTCCACTACGACGCCATCACGTGACGTCTATAAATAGAAAAATCGCCTTACTGAAAAAGTGAAAAGTTCAACACTACCCCGAGGATATTTCATTTCTTTTTGTGAAAATAATTATGTAAAAACATCCCTGTGCCATGAAAAGTGCTGCTAGAATCCTACTCTCCTGATACAGAAAAAAATATTCCAGAGTTTCGCATGAAACCTTACCAAAATTTTACATTTTGTACATACGATCAAGGAATTGTCATCAATTCATGTTAACTACACGATTCTAGCAGCACTTTCCAAGTACTATGGAATACAAGCTTTCGATACAAACAAAAATTATGTTTCAAAGTATGCAGCGTAGTGTTGAACTTTTTCATCTTTGTTGTTATAGAAGGACAGAGGAAAGGCTGATCGGGATTTCAAATCCTGCCTGTGTTCCTTATAAGAAAACATGAGAAGAATAAATCAGCGTACCTGAATCTTAATCTTTTATTCCTTATGAATCACATATGACATTCATGGTATATGCTTTAAAACCCCCATTTCATATATTTGTTTACATGAATTCTCGTCACGTTTAATTTTCACTCGGCAAATATTTGATCAATAGTTATGACGTCAGGGGTTTGGTATTTAACCCCCGTGTTAAATACTTAGCTATTTATACCATAAAAAAAACAGCAAGATTTAGTTAATATTATGTTTTTTAATGATTCCATTCATTTCTCGGACCTAAAATTAAACTTTAAATATAGATATTAAGAAATCATTATCTCTAAAGTTCACGTCATACAGCTTACAATGACGTCATATTGTATAGGCAAGTAGGATATCTGGGTGTAGCCTTAACATACCCGCGCAATCATGGAATAAGATTGTAGTTTCTTCTTATTTTTTCCTTCTTCAACCCTACATTAAACTATACTATCCCAACTAGTGAACAAATTTGAATCTGTGGGAAATGGGTTTGATTGCATATTTCAAGATTTGACAAACTGTAGCCTTGCTGTGCTTGAAAGTAGATTATTAATGATTCTGCTTTTATATTTCTGAAAGTTTGGCCCACCTATTTGGTCAAATTCAAACTCAAGGGGTCATTATTTGAAGAAACTTGAGTATATAATGAAGATTGTACATAAGAATTTTTTCACTTGTCCAGTGGATAATAATACCTCCCACAATTTTTCCTTTTCCATTGAAACTCAGCTGCATGAACTTGGCAAATCGACTGGAGTTTGAGTTGACCACAGTCTTGGCATTTCCAAAAGCTTCTAACAAAGGATTCACCTGCAGAAAAACAGAATCACAAATTTCATCTACAGGTTAATTCCCTAAATAACTTATGTGCCTGATTATAATAAGAGTTGTAATGAACACATGTAACAGACCCAAATTCTACCTCAGTTTTCTGTCAAAGCCTGCTGTTGAATTTGCTTTCTTACCCCCTTTTTACAAACCTATAATATCCTGTCAAAGAGTTTTCTTTCTTCACCCCCTTGTATTTTACTCTGCCTATTAAATATGCTTTCTTCATCCTCTTGTACAAACCTATAATAACTTGTCATGGAGTTTGCTTTGTTCAAAACCTTGTATTATTCTGTCATATCCTATTTTTAAATATGCCTTCTTCATCCCCTTGTACTAACCTGTGATGTCCTGCTGTTGAGTTTGCCTTCTTCACCCCCTTGTACTAACCTGTGATGTCCTACTGTTGAGTTTGCCTTCCTCAGCCCCTAGTACTAACCTGTAATGTCCTGCTGTTGAGTTTGCCTTCTTCATCCCCTAGTACTAACCTGTGATGTCCTACTGTTGAGTTTGCCTTCTTCAGCCCCTAGTACTAACCTGTAATGTCCTACTGTTGAGTTTGCCTTCTTCACCCCCTAGTACTAACCTTTGATGTCCTACTGTTGAGTTTGCCTTCTTCATCCCCTTGTACTAACCTGTGATGTCCTGCTGTTGAGTTTGTTTTCTTCACCCCCTTGTACTAACCTGTAATGTCCTACTGTTGAGTTTGCTTTCTTCACCCCCTCATACTAACCTGTGATGTCCTGCCGTTGAGTTTGCATTCTTCACCCCCTTGTACTAACCTGTGATGTCCTGCTGTTGAGTATGCCTTCTTCACCCCCTCATACTAACCTGTGATGTCCTGCTGTTGAGTATGCCTTCTTCACCCCCTCGTACTAACCTGTGATGTCCTGCTGTTGAGTTTGTTTTCCTCGCCCCCTCGTACTAACCTGTGATATCTTGTTCCTGAGGTTGCTCTCCTCACTTCCTGCGATACACACCAGGTGTTGTACCAGGTATTTACAGGTCTCAGTTTTGCCGGCACCACTTTCCCCAGAAATGACACAACACTGTGAGGTATTGGTTGACAACAGACATTTGTAGGCTTTCTCTGCTACATCATACACATGTGGGGGTAAGGGGACTGAACTCTTAGAATGGTACTTTTGTGACACCTTTAAGTTAAGCAAATTGTTTTTTTTTTTTACTGCAATCCGCATGTATCTGTGATTTTATAAATATTTCTTACATCTTAAACAATTATGTACACAAAAACACCCATTTCAATTACATAAGTATCTCTTTTAAAATGGCTTACCTCCTTGGAATATATTTGAAGATCTTGAAATGGATTAAGTGCGATGAGAATGTCACCAATGTGGGTCTAAAAACAAAACAGAAAAGTTTAATAAAGCCAGAAGAAATATGGAAGAGATGTATTTCTTGATAAAATTGTTTTGTCCACATTAGTAAACTGGGTTGACAATTTCTTAATTTAAAATCTTACATAGATCTGTCCACCAGTAAACCTCTTCTGGATTTCTTTAAGAATGGCACTCTCAGAGATATCAGTAAGATCTGCCAGATTGTCAGATTCCATCACTGATGGAAGTTGGGCCTGTTGATCAGTAAGATACCAGTTAAGATTCAAACCGCACTTCTATCACAAAGCAATACAGATAGAGTGTAAAAGTTCTTAATCTCCTACAATTTACTCAGTCTTCTCCAACTCTATCTATCCCCCTTCCAATTTATTTTCTTATTCCTATATTCCCCCTTCTCTTTCTAGTTGCCCTCTACTTCACCTTGTCTTTTCCTCCAAAGAAGTCACCTCTGCTATTCATCAACCATCCACTATGTCTATATTCCATTTCAAATGGTCTACTCTCATCCTTTCTAGTTCCCTGCCACATTCTCTTGTCTCCACTAATCCACTCTAGTTTCCTCCAACCTTAATTCAGTCCCAGTCTTCCCCAACCTCTAAGGTCCACTCTAACATTATCTAGATCTAGCTTCTTCCTCCAATCTTGTCTACTCCCATCCTATCTAGTCCCATCCCACTTTATCAAGTCTCCTCCAACTACATCTAGTCCCCTACCACTCTATATAGTCTCCTCCCACTCTATCAAATCTCCTCCTGACCTACCTAGTCTTCCACTCTATCAAGTTTCCTGACCTATCAAGTCTCCTCCCACTCTATCCAGTCTCCTCCAACTCTATCAAGTTTCCTCCCACTCTATCTACTTTCCTCCCACTCTATCAAGTCTCTCCATACTCTGTCAAGTCTCTTATTACTCTATCAAGTCTCCTCTCACTCTATGTTTTCTTCTATTACTCTATCTAGTCTCCTCCCAATCTACTTGTCTCCTCCCAATCTACTAGTCTCCTCTTACTCTATTTAGTCTCCTCCCAATCTACTAGTCTCCTCCCACACTATCAAGTCTCCTCTCACTCCATCTAGTCTCCTTCCACTTAATCAAGTCTCTTCCCACTCTATCAAGTGCCCTCTTCCTCAATCAAGTCTCCTCCCAATCTACCTAGTCTTCTCCCCCTCTTTCAAATCTCCTCCTATTCTATCAAATATTTTCTTGCTCTATCAAGTCTCCTCTCATTCGATCTAACTTCCTGTCACTCTATCTAATCTCCTCCCATTTGATCAAGTCTCCTACTTTATCAAGTCTCCTCTCACTCTATCTTACCTCCTATCACTCTTTCTAGTCTCCTCCCAATCTACTAGTCAACCTCCCAATCTACTAGTCTCCTCCCACTCTATCAAGTCTCCTCTCACTCCATCTTGTCTCCTCCCACTTTGTCAAGTCTCCTCCTACTCATCCAGTCCCCTCTTCTTCAATCAAGTTTCCTCCCAAGCTACATAGTCTTCTTCCCCTCCATCAAATCGCCTCCCATTCTGTCAAGTCTCCTCCCACTCTATTTAGTCTTCTCCCACTCCATCAAGTCTCCTCCCATTCGATCTAACCTCCTATCACTCTATCTTATCTCCTCCCACTTGATCATCTCCTACTCTAAAAGTCTCCTCTCACTCTATCTTACCTCCAATCACACTAACTAGTCTCCCTCTACTCTACCTAGTCTCCTCCCACTCTATCAAGTCTCCTCCCCCCTGAACCTTGTCTTCCTCCAACCTATCTTACCTCCTATCACTCTATCAAGTCTCCTCCCACTTCATCAAATCTCCTCCCCCCTTAACCTTGTCTTCCTCCAACCTATATCACCTCCTATCACTCTACCTAGTCTCCTCCCACTTCATTAAGTCTCCTCCCCCCTTAACCTTGTCTTCCTCCAACCTATCTTACCTCCTATCACTCTACCAAGTCTCCTCCCACTTCATCAAGTCTCCTCCCCCCTTAACCTTGTCTTCCTCCAACCTATCTTACCTCCTATCACTCTACCTAGTCTCCTCCCATCCTATCTCACTTTCTATCACTCTATTTAATCTCCTCCCACTATATGCCCTTCTAGCTTCAGTCTCTTCCTCCTATCATGTTTTCTCCCATCTTATTCGACATCCTCTCATTCATCTATACTCCCCTACTCTTATTTGTCCCCCCATGCTCTTTCTAGTCCTCTCCCATTATCAAACCTCATCCATTTAATCAACCCTTCTCTCTATCTGGCCTACCTTGGACTCATTGACATTTCTCCAGATTTTAGAAATGTATATTTCCTCATATATGTCATCTGCTGACTCCTTGTCATCATGGTTACTGTTGTCTGCCCCAGATATGTCCTCTTCTTCTGTCCTACTCTCAATCTTCTTCCTCTGTTTCACCTCCAGGAACTCATCCTCCTTAGCAAGAGTTGTGTGCCGTGATCGACTGTGAATGTGTTACCATTTGATTCAAATTTTCAATTTCAAATGCACTTAACATTTAATAGAATGAATTCATAAGTATTACAATTTTTAATTGAAATTTAAGTAACGGGTTCCTAGAAAATCAGCTTATTCATTTTAGTTGTGGAGGGACAGATATGTATGGATACTGCACAGGGAGAAAAATCATGCAATTAGAGGGTTGGTCAATGGTTCTTTAGACCTTTATAAATAAACTCTACCCCATTTTTTGCCATTTCCTAATCATCTCACCTTGGAAAGACGTTGTGGCCCTTCATTTGTATAAAATTTGAATTCTCATTACCGAAAGACGCTTTGTGCTAAGATTTGTTGAAATTGGTGAAGTGGATCTTGAAAGTTTGAATAGTTAATGGATGCCAAATAGACAGACATCAGACAAGACAAACTTTCATCAGAAAAGGACACTTAAGGTCAAGATCTAGTAAATAAAAGGAGCCTACAGATTTTTCAAATTTGAGAAATAAATTCCTTTAATGAAGCTTTATAAGTATAGCTTGGTCAAATAAGGTGTTTCGGGGCATAATTTGTAGGGGTAAACAAGACGAAAAACCATATCTTAAACTTTCATTTTCATTGAAAAATCAAGAAAATCAGTCATGAATATGGGAGTATTTTCCATATCAGACAAATTAAATGTATCCAGATTGCCTACAGTCTCTCAGAAAACGGTATTTTGTATGTTCTTAGCCTCTTCTTTAAAATAATATTGAATTGAATATAGGTTTCGGGATTACTTTTCATGTGATTTCAAATTGAATTCCAGAAAAGTACTTTATTTTCTACATAATTCTTTTATAGCTGTAAAGTACGGGAGAAAGAAAGTTTAATTTGATTATGACGTCATAATGGATCTAGCATCAAAATGGTAGTCTAAAATCATTTACTAGATCTTGACCTTAAGTTTCCTCTCCTCTAGAGCATAAATTAACCCCAACATGCCTTTCCAGGTTTACAGAATTAAACTTACTCTGTATGTCCTGCTCCCTGTGCAACTTTTATTCAAAATACTCTACTAACTTACACATTTTTACTGTTGATGCGTACAAGATAACCGAGCATAGCTTCATCTCCTGCTTCTATATCATCATCATCGTCGTCATCCAGGTTCTCTGGAAGCTCCGAGTCTCGCCAGGACAACCGTTTCTTTTGCTTCCTCTCTGCCTTAGTCAGCAGAGCCCGGATGTTATCGTTATTGGCCACTTGTGATGGGGTACAACCATTACAGTCTGTTAAGAGGGGGTCAGCCCCTGATTTCAGCAGAGTCTGAACAATCCTCATCTAAATTAAACACTCATTATGTCATTCATATGGTGAAAAACTTATTGTAAAATCATACATTTTCGTGACGTCAAATTTTCGTGGTTTGAGGAAAAAATATTGGTTCGTGGGGTTTTGATTTCATGTTTGAAGAAGTGCTGAGTTTTTATATGTGAGAAAATTTACATTTCTTGGAGGACATGAATTCGTGGGTTTCTTCATACCTCGAAAACAACTAAAATATACCCCCCATGAAAATTAATGATTTCACAGAAGTCAAGGAGACATATCTTAGTCCTTAAAGCTACATGACCTTCTTCCTTATTGACTTTTTCAGAAAACGTACCCAGTAGTCACATATGAAGAGACTTCAATTCATTGTGTGATTTATGTGATGTCAGCCATTAAAATTACCTGATTAAATCTGGATGCGACATGAAGCGAGGTCCATCCATAATTATCAGTCTGATTGACGTCTGCTCCGTGCTTCAGTAGAAGGCGTGTCACTTTTCTGTACCCATTAGCACAGGCAATGTGAAGCTATCAATAAGGAATCTCAACTGACATTTAAAGAGACATAACACAAACAAAAATTTGATGTCTGTATTGATATATATTTTTGGACTGATTTCGAATAGAAATGACATAATAAATCCCCAAAATATAAAGAAATCATAAGTTTTCTTTGGTGCTAAAATATGCAACTTTGTTTTGGATTCTACATAATTCTATGCAAAATTTTGCACATATTTTTAACATTGTGACAAAATCTTACTAATTCTCCCACTTTACATGGCAAACATTATTTCAGGTTACCCATTTGAATATAAATCTATAAAAAAATATTGCTGATTTCTGAAAAAAAAGGTTTATTAGTGTTATATATCCTTAAGTTTAAAACAGTAAACCATACAGAGAAAATTCTACAATTTAGGAAAATGATTTTTTTTTAAAGTAATGGAAGCTTTTTCAAAAGTTATATCTTTATTCTTTATGGAAGGGAAAAAAACCTGGTTTAATATGCTCAAAGAAAATATTAAAATGGCACATGGAAACTGGAAGTTGTGACAGTGCAAGAGATAATAAATTTAAAGCATTTATACAGGAAATGAATTTTGGACCAGACAACTATGACCTCATCACTACTCTGATTTTTTCCAGTCTTACCAGAGTGACTCCATCCTCGTTCCCTTTATTCGGACTTCCTCCCTGTGATAGGTGATCCTTGACGTCGTTAAACATTTTACGAGGAAGCTTCAGTCGAATCTCCTCCAGATGTTTTTCATTAATACCTGTTATAAAAAAAAAAAACTAGTTGATAAGCAGCATTATTAATTGAGGTTTAACTTTACCAGTGCTTAACAGATTACACATATTTTACTGTACCTTGCTTCTCCATGTGTTTGAGCATTATTTCTTGTGTCTCTGACTCCTCAGGTGCATGGTCCATTGGAAAAAATCCATCCAAGTCCTGCTTTGTTATGTCAGCTCCATTCTGTAACATAAAACCATTAAACTGGGATTTAAACATAATAGATTTCATTATTATTAAGGACTTCTTCAATTTACATTTTGCTAAGAAAAAATAAGTTTGTAATTTTACTAGATCTGAATCTTTTAAAGCAAATTAGGTATTATTTCAAGAATGAAGATTTTTACATTGAGAAGCAATTGAACCATGTCCACAGCCTGGCAATGACAAGCCATATGAAGTGGTGTCCAGCCATCCATGTCGACAGCATTGACATCAGCACCCTCTCTGAGCAACATCTCAGCCGTAGAATAGTTCTCCTCCTCGACACACTAAAATAGGTCAATTTCCTATTTTACTTAGAATATTCTCTTTAACATTATGCTAGCATAAAATGTAAATATGTCTATTAAATGATCAATAAGTAACTAGTTTTCTTTTAGTAAAATGAGGAGTTAAACTGTTTTTAAATAAAAATTCTCATGACCCAATGTAAAAAGACTAGATCTGGGAGAATGACTTACTTTATGTAACAAAGATGTGTCATTACCAGTCCTAAAGTCTTTGTTTACTCCAATACGTAACAAACGAGCCACTACAAAAATAATATGACATTTTATCATCAGATCTGACTGAAATATTTTAACTGAAGTACTCATTTACAGAATCAGATGTGCACATATTTAGTCTTCTACAATCCCCATCCTAGAGTGATCCACCATAAAAAATGTGGAATCAACATTATTATTACCTTACCTACAGTAAGCATAATTAAAATTAATTTTAATAGTAATTAAATAATTCAATTTTAATGGTAATTTTTAACAGCAATTAAAGGGTAAAGTATAAACAATATTTGAATTCACAAATATTTGATTTCACAAATATACACCGTAGACTTATTTTTTTAATGTGGGATTAATTTACGCTATGTATGCGGTTACAAAATTTCTGTGGGAATTGTTTTCGTGCACTTAAGGTGCATTTAAGAAAAACAACGGCAATCCAAGAAATCCACATAAATTCTTACCCGCGGATTGAACATAAATTTTGATTCTATGGAATTATGACCTCATGGGAAAAAAAGAATGTTTACAGTATATATATAAGAAAAACTAAACCCTATAAAATTAAGCAGCCTATAAGTCAATCAATTCAGAAGTGGAGCAGCATATTATAAAATTTGATTTCATACAACAAGCAAGGAATACATAGCCTCACCCTCTCTATCATTAAAGTTTTCCACAGCATCCTGAAGAAGGAAGGTTTCTCCAAACTCCACTCTGGTTTTCTTGCGATTCTCCTTGCGCTCTCTCTTTTCATGACTTTCTCTCTCCTGTTTGAGGAATTCCAGGTATTTCTTTACCTGTTCTTTACGTAGCTGTCTTGTGACTTTCTGTCTTTGGGGGGTTGTAAGGGATTCCAAAATCGACTGATCCATTCTTTTTTGAACTAATTAATCTGAAGAAAAGCTCAAAGGTAAGTCAAAACTTCATTTACTGTTAAAAAAAAAAAGACATGAGATTAGACACTCGACCATAATACATGTAATAAATTTATTTTCTAAGACATGTCGGACCCAGCATTATTCTTAAAACTACTCTTTGTTGGATTTAGAATTCAATCTAAAAGTTAAATCTATATTAACATGATTAATTTTATTCTAAAAGGGTGTATGATTTGAAACATTTTATAAATTTATACCCACAGGTCACCTGTTGTCTTCTGAAACTCCTCCATTTATACTTCATTCAATAGAGAAGATTTCAAAAATACAAAATATAACATTCTGAACATTTTATTGATAAGATTTATAAATTTTTCTATAAATTTGTTAACTTTGCTAATTCAAAATATTAATGTTATTTTTAACAGAGGAGGATTAAATATAGTAAACAAGTGGGCCTACGAGATATCAGATTTCAAACAGTTGCAAGTCTCTTTTATTTTTGTCTCTGATTACTTAAAACAAGACTGTTTTTATCACATCAATAATTCATAATATCAAATTTATCATATCAATGTCTTTGAACTACAAAAGTTTACTTCTGACAAAAATTCAGGGAAGTGAAACTCCCTGAAATTTAAGGGAAATTACATTGTTTTCTTTTTCTCTGATAGTGAACTTTATCTGCATTGTTTCAGTCCACCCAACTGCAATGGGTATCCAATGGCTTACTCGGGGGGTTAACTTGCGATGGACTTGTTTAAAGAAATGTTGATTTTAAATGTGACTTGCCATATTGTTTCTTTTTTAACGCATTTTTTGCAGAATCGAAATTGTCAAAGCTGTCTTGAAATAATTTGTTAGCATTTCACACTGTTTTTGCATGCTCTGCTGTGTGAAAATTAGCACATAAAGGTATTATTTTATTGCCTTAAATTTATAGGTAAGTTGCTTGGAAATGAATGTCAAAGTTTAAAAAAATTCACACAAAGACTTTTCGTACACAGAAATACAGAATCACTAGCACAATTTTTTGTACTTTTTTCTATGAATGGCACTGTAGCTCTCTGGTCTGTCAATATTTTTTTCTGTAGAGCTACAGTTCTGCAGCTAACAATTTTGAAAACTCACTGATCTGTCAGTCAGGCCCGTAGGAAGCAATTTCAGTTTGGGGGGGCACAGCTATACATTTTTAGTTGAGGGGGCACTATCAACTACCAAAATTCTTTGACAAGCAAAAAAAAAAAAAAAAGAAAAAAAAAAAAAAAGGTCATCAGACGTTTTTATTGAGGGGACAAAAGCATATAATAGCTATGTTTTCTATAGTAAACTATATATCGGCAAAATTATTGGGGAGGGGGGCATTTTTAGTTGAGGGGGCACTATCAACTACCAAAATTCTTTGACAAGCAAAAAAAAAAAAAAAAGAAAAAAGGTCATCAGACGTTTTTATTGAGGGGACAAAAGCATATAATAGCTATGTTTTCTATAGTAAACTATATATCGGCAAAATTATTGGGGAGGGGGGCATGCCCCCCCCCCCCCCCCCCCGGTTCCTATGGCCATGTCAGTCATTCAGTTTATTTATAATTTACATGTAACATCCCTAGAATCTAATAATATAGCCTACTTCCTGGTTCATATATTTACCTTGTCTTCACTTTCCACTATTTACAATTGAAGACAAATACAAATTCAGTTATTTTTTCCATAACTCTTTTCATCAATTTTAAGGACCTTTAAGCCCAGAATTTTAACAACATAAACAATTCAGCTAATTAGTACAACATATTTTAGTAGTGATCGCTGTCAAGTATGTGTTCAACTGAACCAACTAAAGCTTACAGTGTTGTTTAAACCATTAAAATTAGAACTGGCTAACAAAATTCTCTTGACTTACCAAAAACAAACCCAGACCATAAATATAACCTGCTGATTACTTTGCCTAAAATTAAGTATCTAATTTCGCATCACTGTAAAGGTACACAACATACACTGACTGGTTCGGAATCACAAATGGGGGTAATTCTACACGTAATTTAAATCCCAATTTAAGACCCTGTTTACAATTCTCTAATTTTAAGAAACTTGTATTACTACCTGTTTCTGCAGTAGTATGACAATGTGTCGAGTTAAAGACGCTGGTTATGAATTGTACACCAAACTAATGTCATCTTGACAGCTTTTACTTTTCCATACTGACGAAGCTATTTTCGATGCAAGTCCCACCTCTAAATCTCAAGAAAGTGTATTGTGAAACGGTAACCCATTACCCCATGCTTGACCGCTCGGGAGTCTGCGCAGTAGCTGTAAACAATGCCACGTGCTAGTGTGTAGCATGTTTCTTCGTGACAGTTTGGTATATTTAAATTTTATGACGCACAGGTCAGGCTAGTTAAACCATGAAACTTACCTGCACTTTTAAACTGAACAATTTCCACATGTCTTTATTGTATTTCATTGTTTAACATCACGCATGTTTTCGCAGGAAATTCCCTTTCTTATAATGAGTGAGACTTCGCAAAATTGTTTGTTGATGAATCCAAATAATTCAATTCAAATCAATTCGTTTATTGACCAATTAAGGGCCCTCATGGGGCAAAAAGAAAGTACATTGTTAAAATGTCTATAATGATTATGATCATACACACGAAATACAATATACATATACATAAGAGGGAAAGAATTGCTTGATTGATAGAAAAGACATACAAGTAGGGGAATACCCAAAATATTTTATATGAACATAAGACTTGTTTTATAGGTATATATACAGTACATCAAATATATATATATATATATATATATATATATATATATATATATATATATATATATATATATATATATATATATATATATATATATATATATATATATGCATACAATACTAAACCATATACTTGAAAGTATCATACTTTTACATAATTAATAATAATAATAATAATAATAAAAAAGTTACATTCCTAAAATTTATGGTAATGTTTTTTGTAAAAATCTTCCAAGAGAGTTTAGTATATCTAGTTCGTCGCAATTTAGAATCCAAAATAATTTTTTGTTTATCAGGCAATTCTGTAAAATGTTTTACTTTAGATGAGATCAGGTTAAATATTTCTTCTCTTTCCTTTGTAAATTTGCTACAGTGAATAAGGAAATGTTCTTCATCTTCAATTTGATTAAGCGTACAATTTTTACATATTCTTTCTGATCTGGGTGTGTTATTATATCTGCCTAATTCTATGAAAAGTCTGTGCGCTGATACACGTAATCTACATATTGGTTTTCTGTATTCAGGTTTTAATAAAATTAGATATTTTTCCAATCTAAAATTGTTCTTCTTCTTCCCTTAATGGAATGGACTCAATTTGAGTGTCAATTGTTCTTCAGAAATAAATAAGTGACAAGTTTGCCCTCTTTTAGTGTTTCATTTGAGTGTTGCCAATCAAGTGAGTATTTTTTATTCATGAATTGTTTTAATGGATTCATAAAATCACTCTTAGTATAGGACATTATGTTTGGGATATCAAGAATTTTAGTAATTTTTCTATTGAGGAGTACCAAGTTGTTTTCTGGGCGGAATGAAGTTCCTTACTACACATAAATGCATCTTTTAGTAAAGGGAAAGCTGAATTTAAATTTTCTAATCTGTAGCAAATATCATAGCAAAAATTTAAACGTATTCAAGTCGAATACGTTCCATTTCCATTAGTGAACTCTTCAAAATTAGAGGCGTGTTTGGTCGTCTGACTGGCGTTGCGGATACAAAACATGCCAATCTCAATCCAATTTTAAATGTTAAGTGTATTTGTCATTCCAAATAAAGAGTAGAAGAACTAAAAGACATACTCAGTATGTAAGAGAGCGAGAGCCCTAAATTTATCATCCATTAATAAAAAATACGACATTTCCGAGGCATGTATATTGTATTTAGATGTACCATACGATAAATAGATACATGTGATCAACAATAGATATAAATTGATATTGTTGCCATTCCTACTCTTGATGTACATAAAGTCCACAACAATAAAATATTTCATTTGCATTTTCTTAGGAATTGTTCATCGACATTCAACATATTACATGTTTATGTTACGTTTGTCCCAGAAATCCCGCGAGATTTGTACCTTTTCCGACTTTTTCACAAAAGAGCGCACTAAGAAGTATAACTCTTCCAAAGTGGAAATAGAACGTATTAAAAAAAACAAACAAACAAACAAACAAAAACTAACATATAAATGTAAATTAAATAATTCTACATTTACATAAATTATGTATTATTATACATGTATTAATAGCTGTTGTTTAGTTTAGATTACGTACGTTTGTTTACAGCCTCCGCACTTCATTCAGTAAAGTTTGATGTAGTTAGGTCGTATCAAGGTCATATCTTTTAGTCAAATTAAGTCAATACCTGTCCTTGACAAATGAAAATATCACCCATTCCCACTGTGATCTACAAAATAGTCAACAGAGTAAAATATATTGTGATGAGATCTATCAGGGAAACAATTATTCGGTCGGATACACAGCAGGCCCGTAGGAAACAATTAGAGTTGGGGGGGGGGGGGTTACAGCCATACTTTTTTAGTTGGGGGTTTTCTATAGTAATCTATATGTCAGCAAAATTATTGCGGGGGGCACGCCCCTCTGGTTCCTACGGCCATGATACAAGTGATTATATAACCCTTCTCTTTCCAATTTTGTAACATTTTTTGTCAACTTGAAGAGACTTTCTCTTTATATAGTCTCAATCTTAAGTGAAAGTGTCTCTGTTAAACTTAAAAGAGTGGGACTTCCTCTGTTTGATGTTTTCACCAGCACCCAGCCTTATTTACAGCGAACTTTCCCCCCTCTGAAGAATATTCTACTCTGGAGCTAGTCTTTCCCTTTAAAATGCTCTGGTTTAAACCCATTCATTAGAATACAAATAGACTTTTTATTCATAAAAAGCATTATTTTTATGGGGTCGGTTAGACATCGGAGATGCTTAAAAAAATTATTTATTGTAATCCTTAATAATAATTAGATTTCTCATTATCAGTTGTATGCAAATTGCAGTTTAGAAAGGAATGAGAACGTAAACGAATTCAGTTTAATCCACAAGACATAAAAGAAAAAAGAAAATGTTATCTCCGTGGAGTTTCCTTAGAAGGACAAGCCAATAAATCATTTTAACCCTCCTCCCCCTCCATTTCTGGGATCGATGATTTAACACAAACTTGTCCGTCTATATTCAATAGCATTAAATAAGGATGGTTTTATTTCTTTTTCATGGCCGTAGGAACCGGGGGGCACGGGGGGGGGGGGGGGCAGTGCCCCCCCCCCCAATAATTTTGCCGATATATAGATAACTATAGTAAACATAGGCAGGTGAAAAAACTCTGCCAAGGATGAAAGATGGCAATTACGGAGGGAAGAATGTGGCGGTCAGGTAAGATTGTTAACCGTCACTTAGTACAAGAGCACCAGTCTAGAAGTTCTGCCTGATCAGGTTCGAATCCTGGCCGCGCTCTCTTCCATTCCTGTTTCAATAAACTATTATTCAATGCGTGTAAACGCCATTAAACGTACAAATGGATAATACTATTTGCTACAAATGAAAGCATTGATATTGCTCTGTTTAATTTTTTTTTCTTTTTTCCCCTTGCATTTTGTTAATATATTCTTGATGCTTCTAAATTAATAGCAAAAGTCCTACAAGGATGAAACAACCAGATTCTTACAGGTAAAATAGCTTCCAAAGCTTGTGTGCGTCTATGTGAAATTTTAACTATCCTATAATCCTTATTTTAAAAACAAACTTTACGATGTATCATTGTATGTATTTCTCTTGTGTTAAATTTTCCAGTGGTTTAACGAAACGGTCAACCATGCAGTTAAATTTGGTCTGAATATTTTACACTCTGTTGACTAGTTCTTTAAAATAACCCCTTTTCTCTATTCATATGATCCGCAGTTTATATGTTTAACTTTCCGGAAAATTTATGTTTTTTATCTGACTCAACAAATAAAGGATCCACGCCTATATGCTTGGTGCTATATATGAAAGGTGGTATGTAATTTACCTACATAAGAAACCAATCATCTGTCAATAAGGAACTTCCGTACCCGCATACAACATCAGTAGATTGTACGTACATAATATAAGGGCACAGACCTCGGGCTAAACTTGTACATTGTAGAATGCCTACATGTACAGAGTGTTTTATCTACACGGGTTTTAAAAGGCCGCCAAGGAACACCGACGTCGTCAGGTGGGGACAAGGTGCGTGCACGATCTCATGGTACGTATATCTAAGTACTGTTGCTTTGTTATTTAACTGAAGGTACTCTCGGCACCTTATGGAGTGATATAGTGTTTTGTTTTGTTTTTTTTTTAATTGACAAGTTTTTGGAATGCTAGGAATGTGTCGCTACTACGACTAAATAAACGTATCGTCCTGCCCCCGTCCTTTAACATTTTTGTTATGATAGGGGTAGGTTTTATGCTTAGTAGTGGACAGGGTGTTCAGTTTTTCACATACATTCACTGGGCATTCGTTGAATAACTTTAAGCTTTCTCAACCATGGTTAATAATATTTTACACGGCTATACTGTAATGGATGAACAACGATGAATGTAAATGTCAGGAAGATTTTTTTCCTTCATTATCATATGTACATGAGTGTGCAACTAAAAATTATGTTTTCATTTACATTTCGTTCCATATTTAAGCTATATCAGCATTTCATGTAAAAATGACAAATGCGGAAATTGAAGTCCGTATATATAAAAATCAGTAACTGTATCACAGAAATCGATCAATCTAGCACTGACATAACATGAATAAAGCGACATATCCCACTGTGATCCGCCTACATGTAACCGTAAGTCAATATTTGTTGCCTTTGGGTGGATTCGGGTAATCGATGGTTTGTAGTTAACAAGTAATTGTGTTAATCAAACCTATATGGTGGTGGTACCGGTGTCCCACTGGACTATATTCGCTAGCTTTACGCCCCTTCCCCAACTACAACACTACAACACAAAATGTAACCCCCCCCTTTTCGAAAAAGGGGAGATTTTGGTAAATTGGGTTGTTAAGCATACATTTTTATCAAGATGCCATAGAGCACTGTTCATGCACCCAAATCTTCATCTCAGAACGTACTACCCTCGCTCCTCTCCCCCCTTTTGACAATAAGAGCTCCCTATTCAGGCCTGTAAATATTGGCCTTAATGTAACGTATGTTGAAAAACGTTTCTTTATAAATATTTTATAATTATTGATTAAGTATTTGTATGTTTCAGGGCGAGCTGTACAAAAAGACCCTCCATAAATCCCGGGTGCCCGCCTATTTCCACGTGCCATACATTGAGACGGGTTACCGCTATATTCACCAGCCATGGAAATTCTACCTCTACAGCATCTTTTACAACAATATGGAGACTCTAAACGTTTGGACACATGTGGTTGGCACGCTGCTGATGACGTCACGTCTATACCAAATATCCGTCAACTTTGACCTTAGTGACCCCTACATGTGGCCCCTTTTAGCAGCGGTTCTCTCTTTTACGGCCATGTTTGTGACGAGTAGTACCGCGCATTTGTTTTCGCACAAATCTATGGAAGTTAACTGTTGTATGTTTATGGCAGACTTTGCATGTATCGGTCTCTATGGATATGGCACCATACTAACTCACTACTATTATTCCTTGGATCAGTGTTTCTTGGAATCTGTCCTTCTAAGGAACGTGTTTTACTTCGGTTCAATACTTGCTGTACTTAGTACTGCTTTTGGGTCGATGTCCAAAGCTATAGTTCATGATCTCCATTCCAAACGACGGACAGCCTTAATAGTTTCAGGTCTAGGTGCAATATATCTTTTGTCCAACATTCCAATTCTTCACAGGATCTGGAACTCAGAGTGGACGGATGGAATCGCTCACCACCTCAAACAGATGGCTAGTATGATTGGCGTCTGCTTCTTCTATTCTACAAAACTTCCGGAACGTCTCTCACCGGGGACTTTTGACTTCATAGGGAACAGCCATCAGATCTTTCATATTCTGTTCGTCTTGTGTACACAGAGTCACGTGGACGGCGTCGTCTGGGACATTAACTTTCGACAGACGTTCGTAGTCCGTCGGCCTCCACCCTCCCTTTGGAACATATTTGGAATCATTGCTCTTATCTGTTTAGCAGACATACTGACTATGAACTATTTTCATTCTAGATTTAAAAAGAGATGTTTGAAACAAGATCCAAATTCCAATGAACTGAAGGCGAAGACATAAGCATTTCAACCAATGGTTCGACTTTTAGCCAGCAATATTGGAGCTGAGTTAATTTCCGACCATTGGTTTGTTTTTTAGTCTACCTCTCTATACTCTGTTCAGAATTTTAAGTCAAGAACAGTAGCACAGCAAATTACCCCTGTTCCTTCACATTTCCCTTGCTCGCCTTGGAAAAGTGGTAATCTGACATTGAAATCCAACATGGCTAACGTGTCCTCAATTTTCGGCATCATTCTTTCCAGTAACTGCATGACGACTGACTAGTCTGCCGACGGACCATATTAGAATGTTCCATCACGCACATGGACACACATCTTCGCTGGCCAAGGGAGTGACGGTCCACTTTTTACAAAGAAAATAGGAGCGGATCGTCACCAATGACTAGAGGAGATGATTGATACGTAGAGAGTAATTTCTGGTGTGTCGTTATAATTTTCTGATACATAGGCTTAGAGTTTTTCAGATACTCATTTGTTGAATGTCTCATTTGTAAACAATTATTACTAAAATTGGATCTGGTCTACACTTGCCAAAATGTAACATATATTATATTCTACAGTACGCAAGTATAGTTACGCGTACTCAAGCCCTGTAAAGTCTTTCAGTATGCCACATCATGTTGTGCAATTTTACTAACATGTGTAATGCAACGAAATGTGTAATAAAAAACTTTGATGGTTTCTTTTATATACAACGGTTCGTATATTTTTTATTACTTGTTGATTAAATTTTTACCTCGATGACATTCTTTTCTTTTTCTACTTGTACAACAGAATCTAATTCAATTTGAAAAGGTGCAAATTGTTTTAGTAAATGTTCTTGATGGTTGTAAACACAGAATTAGGTACATCAGTTGGGGTGGATTAGGGGAGAATAATTGAACCAGTGCAGTAAGAGGCAACATAAAATGTTGTTTATTCATTAATGGCGATGATACACAATATGTTATTCATTTGCAAACATTTTCTTAGCTGTCATACCCCAAGTCTAAAGAAATAAAAGTACGAGGGGCGTTTAATAGATAATGCAAAAAGTCATCAAATGAAATGTATGGAGATAACGAACAGTATTCAAGCTCAAAAGTCCATTAAACAATACAAATTTTCGAGCAGAGCAAACACGGACCTCAAAAACATCAGAGGTGGGATCAGGTGTCATGGACGATTGAGCATCCCTGCCGACCGGTCACACCCGCCGTGTGCTCCTTGTCATGATCGGGTAATAACGGAAAAATCCGTCGACAAAGAAAACCTTATCTTATATTGTTCTTCCTCTGCAGTTCAAAACAGTACACATTTTCGACATTCTTTTTTGTCAAAATGTTTTAACAGTTTCAGAAGAGCATCGGTAGGCAAATGATGCAACCATGGTAATCTCTCACCACTTTTCTTCAGATTTGTTTTCTTCGTCAGGTCCCTCTTTTACAAAAGAACTTAGGATGAAATACGGAGATAACGAACAGTATTCGATCTCATAGTCCATTAAAACAATACAAAACGGGAGCAGAGCAAACACGGGCCTCCAAAAGATCAGGTGCCATGGAGGAGTGAGCATCCCCTCCAACCGGCCACACCCGCCGTGTACTCCTTGTCATGATCGGGAAAAATCCGTCGACAATTCAATAATGATAATAATAATATAATACATGTATTATTATATAAGATAATAATAATAATGCAATAATGGTCTAAAAACGCCAGTCAGCATATGACTTAATGATAGATTGTATTTGGTGACAAGGTCATTGTATCGACCATAGAACTTACGAAATGATGACTATAAAAGAGACTGTTGATATTTTTGTTTCATCAACCTGTCAATAAGTTACCTCGTTTTAGAAATTCTTCATACGTAGACAATGCTCTTGCGTATCGAATCAACTGAGAGATACACACCTCGTAATGGTATATTGCTGCATAAGTAAGGGAAGTTGACGATTGAATAGCTAAAGTCATCATGTTTATCATAAAGCTTTGTTTTAGATTACTATTAACGTCTTTTTGTAGTAAAACATCCAAATATGAAACAGATGTGTCAGACTCGGTGGTATCTTTTATTTCGAGCTCACTGGGATATATCGTGTCGACATATGAATGGAAATAACTATTGTTAACTGATAGTACGTCGTCGATATATCTAAATGTCGAGTTGAAGCTACAGCAAGAGATTTCTTTTTCTCATGTATAAGGTTTTGAATAAATTCTGCTTTATCCGGTATATGAATACAAAAATAGGTGCTAACAACGGGTCGCAATTGGTACCCATGGGAATTGAAAAAGCAGCTGTCAATGATGTCAAAAAGTCTGGACTTTAATTTATCGTGGGGAATGGTTGTATATAGAGTTGAAAAGTCGTTTAAGTATTTATGCTATTGACTTTGGTAAAATTTTGTGATTTCAAATTTCCCAAAAGTTCCTTGGAATTTTTAAGTATCCACATCTGATTTACACCACTTCTTGAATATACCAGTATTGTTGCACAGTACTCCTGAAGTTTCTCCTTCACTGCTGTTAATATTTTAGTAAGGAGTAAAGAAAGAGGCTTCTTAGAACATTTACTGGAACTCGCTATGTATCTTTGTAAGGATTTTTATGAAGTTTCGGAATCCAATATAAATATGGTAATTCAAATTCATTTGGGTTGTTAGGAATATTAAAAATATTAAAAACTGACATATGACTTTGAAGAATTTCCTCCTTAGAAAGGGGGCTATGGGTATAAGTTGGATAAGTACACGAAGTTTACAAATGATAGATAATTCTAAAATCTCGCCATCTTCATGATTCTGTGAGATTATACTGTTACTGAATTCCTCGGATTTGCATAAATATAATAATTTAATCAACGTTAAAAATAAATCATTTGCAAAAATATATTTTGGTCCAGTAGCCTAAGTTCTTTATGGTAAAAGTGAGAATAACAAACAGTGATCGATCTCATAAATCTTTTAAACACTAGGATAGTGAATAAGGAAAAAAAACACACGGATCCCTGGATAACACCAAAGGTTGGATCAGGTGTCTAAGAGTAACAAGCAACCCCTGTCACGCGGTCACACCCGCCGCGCCCTCTGTATTGATCAGGTGAACGGAGTAATAAGTAGTCAAAATAAGTATTCAAAACAATGGCCTGACGTATGTCAGTACATATACCGACGCAGAGATACCTTGTATTTGTAAACCACCATATGCAGGTGATAATGGTATATTACTGCTTCAATAGGGGAAGATGACGATGGAAAAGCTCAAGTTATCACATTTTGTTATATAGTTAAGTTGTAAGTTGGTCTTTAACGTACTAGTATATAATCAGTAAAACATCCAAATATGGAATATGGCAGTCTTTGTGGTATCTCTAATTTTGAGTTCGCTGGGATATATATATCGAGTTCAAAAAATCTATTGTTAATTGATTAAATGTCGGTTTATAGTACATGTAAATGTCGAACTGAAGGTCACAGAAAGTTTTCTTCTCACGTAGACGTTTTAGAATAAATTCTGCTTTATAAGAAAACAAAAACATATAAAGGCTGACAAAGGAAAACAATTAGTGTCAATCGTAATTCTACGTTAATTAAAACTGAATTTCTTTGTGCGAAAATATATACACAAATTTAACATGGTTAACTGTATATGTTAAAGTACATGATGCTTGGCATCCATTTGAGAACCCCTCGGGAAGGACTAATCACAGGAGTTCGCGTACCTATCAATTTAACCAAAGTTTTAGTAAATAAAAAAAATACGTAATACCTGTAATATTATTATAGGTATTACGTATTTTTTTTATTTACTGAAAATTTCGGTTAAATTGATAGGTACGCGAACTCCTGTGGACTAATTAATGACTTTCTGCTATAAATTTTTTAACGAAAAAAATATGAAGTACGAAGCGGTGTTTGCTTTTTTCGGAAAAGAATGTGATACGAAGAAAATTTAACACAGAGAATAGGAAGAGAAGAGATTTATAATCACAATGTTATATTAAAAATATGAAGTTAATATTAATTTTTTTCAGTGTCAAACATATTAAACTCAGATTAAAACATGGCGAAGAGCTGCTTTTTAAGTCAGACCATCATATTGTCATCATTCTCCACAAAAAAAAAAAAAAAAAAAAAAAAAAAAAAAAAAAAAAGCATCAGCAGCAAGAGTTATCTTTCTTTATAGAATTTTTTTTCTAGTGAAAAGAGAAGTTTCAAAGTATGGTACATGATATATTACTGCACTAAACTGTTCATAAAAAGAAAGAAATGTATCAATTTGTAAAGTTAGAAAAACTGGATGCAAATGTTCCAGGTTAAATGTTATCAATAACTATCAAAAATACTGGCAAAAGAAAATTGAACATGGTGTTTGCATCATAGGCTAGTTTTGTCTGAACTGACTATTTAGATAGTGCATTACATAAACTCTGGTAACACATAGCGCTGAATTTAATGATATTGGACGGAATTAGCTAGGGCCTTTGGAGAATTTAATTATGTTTAAAAGTTTTCCAAACTTTTTTTTTTATCATTTGCAGTCACTAACCAGTGGATTTTTTCACAAAATAACTTACGACTAAGATAAAGGTTTTCCAATTATCCTGAAAATCGTTCATAAAAAATCTTATGCATCTAAATAGGATATGTTATTCTGTGGAAAATTGTCTTTATTAAACGAAGAAATTACAGAGTTATAAAATTTCAAAGTTAAAAGTAACATTTTTTTAAAGGGCTACTGATTTTTGGTATGTATACAAGTCTATCTTGATGAGATTTACATGTAGGTCGCGTTTCGTTCCACCTCGATGTGTGATATATGATTGAATTACGATTTATCACCCGCTACAGATGTCCATTAATAATTTTTTAAAAGAAGATATAGACTACAGGGGCCGATAATAATATGCTTTTTAATAAAAATATATATATATATATATATATATATGGGTAATGGTGTGTTTTGCACTCACTTGAGCAAAGTTCCATAATGAACCATTCTGATCAAAAAGTATGTATTGGTTATGTCTTTAAACCAAACTAGGTACAAAGCATCACTGGTTAAAGGAAATTCAAACTTGTACAAATGGCCATGTTCTTTAGTTTAGCATATTGTTTTTACAAAATGATTTGTAAGAAAAGTTGAAAAATAGAGAATAATACATGACAAAATCTGTATCTCACCCATATCAACCCGAGGAGGTGCTTTTCATGTCATCATATGTGAAGAACCCACTTCTGGAGGAAGAGAAAACAAGATTCATCTCACCTGTCACTGAAAGATCGGTATTCGTGTATCAGGAATGACCCTTGTATAGATGGCAGGTGTGACGTAACGGTCAACTGTTAACCGGGTGTTAGACGAAATCTAGGTACTTATACCGTTGGGAGAAGATATTTATGTCAGTACAGAGGGCTAGAACACTGGTCACAGTTTGCCTTTATCCAGGTAAGTAATGTCATTTCTATAATCTTTTCTGAAGATTGCCTTTATGCCTTTGTCTGCTGGTGAAATTAATGTGTGAGGCACGCAGCATCATTTTTGAAAAGGGGGAGGGGTATTTGACAACTTACCTGAAAAATCTTTGTCAAGCAAAATTGAAAAGGGGGGGGGGGATTGTCTCGAACTCCAAAATCCCATTCCGTGTGTTGGAAGGGGGTGGCGTGGGGGTGGGGTTAAAGACTTTATGAACAAGGAGGACTTATAGCTATACTGCATCAAAAAGTGGGCGAAGGGGTTTTTCGATGAATAGTTTTATACTTGATCAGCAGTAAAAATAATTATTTCCGAAAAAAAGGAGGGGGCGATCCCCCTCTCCCGATACTACGTGCCTACAAGTGTAATCAATATGCACTAAGCCAAGTCTAAAAAAAAAATCTTTCGTATTTATAGATGGAATTAAACAAAAGAACCCTCTGCAAATCCCAAGTACCAGCATATTTCCATGTACCCTACATAGAGACTGGGTACCGATACTTTCACCAACCATGGAAATTCTACCTATACAGCGTCTTCTGCAACAACGTGGAGACTCTAAACGTCTGGACACATGTGGTGGGCACGTTACTGATGACGTCGCGTATATACCAGATATCCGTGATCTTTGACCATTATGACCCATACACTTGGCCTCTACTGACGGCCCTTCTGTCCTTTTTTGCAACTTTTTTGGCTAGCAGCATTGCTCACATGTTTTCACACAAATCAAAAGACGTAAATTGCTGTATGTTCATGGTAGACTATGCGTGTATCGGTCTCTTTGGATTTGGTGCCGTTCTGAACCATCATCACTACTCGGTAAATAAGAATGTTGATAGCACAACTCAGTGGCGAATACTACTCACCAGCTCAGTTCTGGCAATCCTTTGCTGTGTCTGTGGTGCTATTTCTAAAGCTGTCATAACTAATCCATTATCTAAACATCGTATCATTCTTCCTGCCGCCGGAGTTGGTCTTTTGTATCTTTCATCTATAACTCCAATTGTGGACCGTATTCTGAATTTCGAGACAACTGGGGGAATATACCACCATGGTTTCCAAATACTCAACATGCTCGCCACAGGGTTCTTTTTCTCAGCGAAACTTCCTGAGCGCTTCTTCCCTGGTACATTTGACTTCATTGGAAACAGCCACCAAATTTTTCACTTGCTAATGATCCAGGCATCAGTAAGTCATGTGGATGGAGTCATCTGGGACATGTTATTCCATAAACTCTTCATCAGGCTACCGCGGGTAACGCCCTCGTTTTGGAGTACATTCGGCCTCGCTTTCGTTATAGTGGTAGTTGATGCCTTTATCATACAGCGTTTTTATTTACATTTCAAAGGAAAAAGTGCTTGTCATAACTTCTTTCTTTCTGAAAACAATAACAATACAGACCAGAAGTAACAACATATACATACTCCCTTTCTGTTGTTTTGTTCCACTCGGTTAACAGAAGAGTAAACGAAAATGTCCAAGTAGAATAAAAAACTTTATTGCAACAAACAAATTACAATAGAATAACTGGTCCCCGTACCCAAAAATAAACTGACAAGCCAAGAATAAACACCATTTTACTCACCAGTGAAAATTTTGCAGTAAGCGCAACAATGAATTTCTACTGTACAGAAAATTTTACCTTGTTACCAGTGTGTTACCAGTATAAAACAAGAATGTGTGGCAATATTTAATACTTTTAAAATTTGACTCATGAAAATAGATATCCAAAATATCTTTATTCCTGAGACTCAATCAAAGCTGATTCACAATAAAATTCTGAAGATAAAAAGTTTCTATCTATTAAATAAGGCATTTTTTGAAAAATATATCTTATACAAAATTTCAATATCTGTTCTGCTGATGCATGAGCTCTTGTTTTTGGAGCATGTGGATACCAGTACATATTTCTGAGGCATATCAACAGTCTGACATGACATTTTAATATTGGGACTTATTTGTGACAAAAATCACAAAATGGAGACAAAATTAGTAATTAGTCTTAGTAATTAGTCTTAGTCTTAGTATGATGTTCAGAACAACACTGGAATCTAGACAGCTGACATACATTTTTATACAAAATCTTATTTTAGAGCTTTTTATTTCAGTCAAAATACAAGAAGCTTAATTCAGCAGCCTTCCATGAATCCCCTCTGTATGAAACCATTTCATATATCTTAACATTCCTTGATAAAATTTGTCTAAGCCTCTCAATTCAATAAACTTGGAAAAAAAAATCTTAATGATGACAATGAACCAAATACCCTAAACAGGGTTATCTTCACCCTGTGTTATTTTTGACCTTTCACACAATTGCTGTCTTCTTTGAATTTGCCCAATTTTAAATCTGCACTCTTGCAACAATGGCAAAAGAGGCAAAAATATCCCTGTATACAGTGCAATTTCAAATGGGATTTATTCCCACTTGTTTGTTCACTTAGCAAACTTCAATATGTATCCTGAATTGACATGTACATATACTGATTGTTCTAATGTAAGCTTGTCATTAATAATGTTCCTATTTCAGTCTCTCACTGCATATATATTGGACAATTTTGGCAAAGTAAACTTTTATCAACAACAGCAGATAATGATAATTGAAGTTTGGGATTTTAATTAAACTTTAACAAGCAGTATAACTTTTTTGGCATGCAGTCACATCTTAGTCTCATTGCACATTTTGATGCAATGAGTTTAAAGAATAATCAATTCCATAAAGGACAGTTAAATACCTGCTTCCTTAAACTTGACCAAATTAAGCATGGCAAAGCTTCTATAGTTTAATGATCTAAATATTTGATGTCTTTGAGGTCACTTGACCTCACTTGACTTTTAATATTAGATTGTGGGCTTGCTTTGACATATGATCCCTAGTGTTCAACATATCGGCATTCAAGACAATAGAGTTCAATAGGTTCATAATATAGAATTCAAAATAAAAGATCTTTTTTCTAAAGTAAACATAGGAAATGTCATTATATTATTGTACAATAAACTCTATTTTAAACCTTCAACTCACGCATCAATCTTCAGCACCTAATACACTGGCTAGCATCATATAAAATAAAAATTTGTCCAGATCTCATCAGATATAAAAATTCAATAATACAATAAGTTCAAAGAATTTCTTCAAAATGATGATTTAGAATGGTGTAGAAGTTCATTGATTTTTAGCTTTTATACAGTCAGCAATCTCCTTCATTTTTGCAAACAAAACTTAGCAATAAAATCTACAAACCAAATCATTCCTCCCATAGAAACAAATACATTGAATATATTCAACTCTCAATAATCTCTAGCAATAAAAATATAAATCTGGAAAAATAAGATTCTGAACAGAAAATACTGTATATAAACATATACATGAGCCCACTTTAACTGATAACTGAACACACAGGTTGTAATTGGCTGCAAAAGGAAAACAAACCAGAGTGTATGTGAAGGTCTTCATTTCCTACCATAATTCAGTAAAATTAAGTAAAAAACAATCAAATAAATTAACATGATTAAGCTGCAAAAGCCTGCATGAAAACAGAAAAAGACCACAAAATAACATTTTAACAAGTAAGTATATGTACATGAATATACACAATATCTTCTGTATGCTGGAATGTGAGCACCTGTCTATAGGAAGTGACCTACATTTACACTGATTCATACCCTGGTACAATATTGATATAGGCACTATTTATGTAAGCTATGCTAGCAGAAAAGAAAATTACTAAAAATATTATACATCTATTACAAAAACATGTAAATTTCAGTATTTTCATTTTTTAAAAATAAAATACAGGGACTTCTTTAAGAATCCCACATAACTGTACATTCTCTCATCATTTATACATACATGTATATTTCATATTCATGTGGTGGCAAGACAAATTTAATGATATAATGATACTCACAGGCATATAAACTCACAGATAATCACTAACCATTAATTTAAAAAAAAAAAGTGTTCCAAATGATTTGTCTCCGCATGCCATAGTAAGATCATACAGATAATATTAAAACTTTTGCTAAAAATTTTCAGATCTAGATCTACCATACTTTGACAATACTAAACCACACATATGTAACCAAAAAAATGCAGAGATATCAAAATCTGCTCAGTAAATTAAATATAACAAATTAAATTGCAGAAATAATTATAACATTTTATAAAACAAATAGATATTCTTATTTGTTAAATCATCTTTAAAGTTCCCCATAAGCAGTTAATTTCATCAATAAAGACCCCATATTTGTCGTGTGTTTCAGTCTGACTAGATGTAGTTAATTTGTAACCCAAGCTAGTAATCTCCGAGATCAACTGAGTTTTCCGATCTCGAGTTTCCTAAAGACTTCAGCAGCTGTGAATATGCAGGAATCAATGATTCCCGCCACTGTGAATGTTCCTCCAACAATAGCACAAACCTATAAAAACAAATTAGGGTTAAACAGTGTGTTTTTGTTTTGATTTTTCTCAGATCCATACAATTAAATATTGAATTTCTTTGAAATATATTGTTAAAAATAATAAAATTTGAACTTTGTCTTCACAAATGCTGAAGCTTTGGAGAGGGCATGTTAATCAAAGATGTCTCTGATCAGACAGTAGCTCTACTGGCTTGAATGTGTTGTAGGACTTATTTTCTTCTCTTTTAAGAGCCCTCTATACACTGCACACCAAAGAGTTCTAATTTTGTGGTGTTTTTATGCTGATAGAGTAATCTGCCCTTTGATCAAGAATAAAATAAATTGAAATGTACAGTTTATTAATTTATACTCAAATCAAGCATTCATAACATTTTTATAGACCAAGATGAATACATTGAACACTTCATTTGCAGGTATTTTGCCCACTTCAGTAAATAACAGTGATTTTTTTTCATCAGTACTTCATTGTCTTTGAACATTTTTACTGGGGGTAAATGCAAGGCACCCTATGTTGAAAATATGATAGATAAGCTCAATATTTACAACTTTACACACTATAATTTTCTCAATGTCCAAAAAATCTTTTCCTCTAGCGTATAGAGGGTCCTTAAGAGTTTTACATTAAAAGGATTATGTATTGTGATGTTGTCTAAGTGTATACAATGTTTAATGGAAATCAAACCAAAACTTTAGGAGTACATTTTGAAAAAAATTCAAACATTATTCTATTTTCAGTAACCAAAGCAACACCTTTTATGGAAATCAGAAATTGATGCTTGAATTAGTCGACTTGTATCCAAGTTTTACCAAAATAAGATCACAACTGTAGTGGAATTAGTACGGTAATTTAAAATCATTTTCACATTTTTTTCTAAATACAATTAACAAAAATAATAATTATCCACCTGTGTAGGTTTTGTTTTAATCAGATCAAAATGTTTGGGGCTTAACATTTTGAGAAAATGTTTAAAAACCAACAGATAAATGAAGGATACCTTACCAATATTTATTATCTTCAGGTCAGTAAAACCTCTGTGAGCAGAAAGACTAATTTCTTAATAAGATATCCCTTGTCATTTTTCAGGCATTAAAATATAACATTCAAAAGAGCACTTCTGTTATAGGCAATCTGGTATTGTTCATGGTTGTAACAAAGAAGTAAAAAACCAAAAAAATGTGAGTTATCTCAGCTTAGATTCTGCTCACTGGATATTTGGCCCGATACCTGTATCCATGAGGTATCAGTCCAAATACAAACCAAGCCAAATCTCTGCCGAGATTACTGGCATTTCTTACTGTGGTAAGGAATGTGCAGTGAGCCAAATCTCAGCCAAGATTACTAGCATTACTTACTGAGGTAAGGAAGGTGCAGCCAGCCAAATCTCAGCTGAGATTACTTGCATTACTTACTGTGGTAAGGAAGGTGCAGCCAGCCAAATCTCAACTGAGATAACTAGCATTACTAACTGTGGTAAGGAAAGTGCAGTGACCTGAATCTCAGCTGAGATAACTAAAATAACTTACTGTGGTGAGGAAGGTGTAGAAAGCTGAATCTCAGCCGAGATTACTAGCATTACTTACTGTGGTAAGGAAGATGCTGCTAGCCAAATCTCAGCCGAGATAACTAACATTACTTACTGTGGTAAGGAATGTGTAGAAGGGTTTCCTCTTCTCCTTGTATCTGACTGTGATTGGACTGAGATCGTAGCGGAACCAGATTGCTGGCATCATCCGGCCACCATGACCATACTGAATAACGTCCTAAAAATTCAGAACACAGTTATTATATAATCTAATATATACAAGAAAATAGGAACAATGGTCAGAACTTAGCAAGATATACATTTGAAGACAAAACTGCAACTTAACGTAACTTGTTGCATATGCCATATAATTGTTAGCACTGGACATTTTTTTAATTTATCCAAATTAGACTTGGTAATACAGGTAATATAAAACAGATCTATCCCACCAGATTATGTGTACAGATAAAATAAAACAGACCTATCCCACCAGAGTATGTGTACAGATAATATAAAACAGATCTATCCCACCAGAGTGTGTGTACAGGTAAAATAAAACAGACCTATCCCACCAGAGTATGTGTACAGGTAATACAAAACAGATCTATCCCACCTGAGTGTGTGTACAGGTAAAATAAAACAGACCTATCCCACCAGAGTATGTGTACAGTTAAAATAAAACAGACCTATCCCACCAGAGTATGTGTACAGGTAAAATAAAACAGACCTATCCCACCAGAGTGTGTGTACAGGTAAAATAAAACAGACCTATCCCACCAGAGTGTGTGTACAGGTAATATAAAATAGACCTATCCCACCAGAGTATGTGTACAGGTAATATAAAATAGAACTATCCCACCAGAGTATGTGTACAGGTAATATAAAACAGATCTATCCCACCAGTGTATGTGTACAGGAAATATAAAACAGATCTATCCCACCAAAGTATGTGTACAGGTAATATAAAACAGAACTATCCCACCAAAGTATGTGTACAGATAATATAAACTAGATATATTCCTCCAAAAATATGTGTACAGGTAAAATAAAAAAAACTATCCCACCAGAGTATGTGTACAGGTAATATAAAATAGAACTATCACACCAGAGTATGTGTACAGATAATATAAAACAGACCTATCCCCCCAGAGTATGTGTACAGGTAATATAAAACAGAACTATCCCACCAGAGTATGTGTACAGGTAATATTAAACAGATCTATCCCACCAGTGTATGTGTTCAGGTAATATAAACAGATCTATCCCACCAGAGTATGTGTACTGGTAATATAAAACAGATCTATCCCACCAGAGTACGTGTACAGGTAATATAAAATAGATCTATCCCACCAGAGTATGTGTACAGGTAATATAAAACAGAACTGTCCCACCAGAGGATACATCCTACATAAGTCTGTGTATTGGACTTACCGTATAAGCATATATGTTTTGAACTTACCCACAGGAGTACATTTACTGGACTAACCCTGTAAGAATAAGTCTAATGAACTAACTCTACAGGATCTTATGTATTGGATCTCCTCTATCAAGGATATTTGTATTACACTAGCCCTGCAAGAGTATATATATCCAGAATTGGTCTTATCCTTTAGGAGTATATGTACTGTATTAAGAATTGGACTTATCCTATAGGAGTAAGTTACTAGTCAGAGTTGGACTTAGACTATGGGAGTATGTTACTGGTAGTCTGAGTTGGACTTACCCTATGGGAGTATGTTACTGGTACTAAGAACTGGATTTACCCTATAGCAGTATGTGGATTAGTATTCAGAGTGGGACTTACCCTATAGCAGTATGTGGATTAGTATTTAGAGTAGGACTTACCCTATAGGAGTATGTGTACTGGTATGGATATCGCAAGTTTCCTCTTGAATCTTCATATACAGAAGGGACGATTTTCACAATGTAATCATGTGTGGCTATTGCTGTAATAATGTAAAATGTAGTTTAATACAAAATATTCAGATTTTTCATGCAATTACTCATTTTAGATGAAGACAAATGGGGAACACTCTTTCCCTCTCTTTGAAGTTACCTAAAAACAATTACTATATACAAACACTTCTTTCATTTGGATAGGTAATACCGGTAATCTTCATTTTTATGACCCCTGTTCTAACCTTGTGACTTGGTCTTATCCAGGCCTTCCATTGGGTTAAAGGATCCAGAAACATCCTGAAATAAGCAATCAAAACTTGATGAAATACTTGTCCATTCTTCATGGTAACCTTTTTCCCTAGGGCTTTATTCAATCAGTCTGATGATAAATTACTGATCTGTCCATCACAGTGAATGTAAATTCCCAAATCTAGTCTTTCTTCTTTTTAACTCAGTACAGTGTTATACGCTAACACTTATGGAACCTATCCTTTAATAGACTAGCCAGTAAAATACTTCAATTTATCTTGCCAACCATACCTTTCCTTCTTGTAGATCCATTCCAAACCGGACTTTGTGAATCACATGGGTCATGTCGGGATTGTCTGGCTGTTGTTCCGCAGAGTGTGTCGAGACATGGAAGTTACCAGGCACCTGTTAATGGAGAAAAACTCAAAATTTAAGGAAACATTTCTTTTCAGCAGCAATGCCATCTAATAAGAAAGTACTCCCCTCTGTTTTGTTAAGATATGGTATACTGGTGTATCATACAGCAGTAACTTCAGAACACTTCATAACTTAATACTAGGGGGATCATTGTTTAGAAATTGAAGTTAAACATGACTTGGTATTACCAATGCCAAACAATACTGATGCATTACAAGTTATAGAAAGAATAACTTTGATGATACTCATTTCATGAAACTGAATTTATAACAACAATCATCAATTTTTATAATAAAAGATAAAAATCAAATTCAAATAAAAGATGAGTTATCTGTCCGCTCATATTTACTTTGTTGATGAGGAAGTGGGATTCCATTCGGCACCCTGTCCCCCCATCGACATCAAACTTTTGAGTATTGTCTTGAAAACCCACTTCATGCCTTCCCATATCATCTTGTATGTCAAGTCCTAGATCTTAAATCAGAAATCATTTCAAACAGTGAGTCCATAATATTCATCTGATTAAGTTAGACTTAATACCTATCGATAAATCTCAAAGTAATACTGATTCATTTACCTTAAAAAAAATCCCTATTTCATAATTTATCATGCATTATTTTGTTGCAAGGGTTAAATGTGCTGTTTGACTTACATTTACAGTTCAACTTGGGTAAAGTAAGGTTGATGAAGACAGGAATTTTCTCAGAATGTTTCACAGGATCCTCCACTGTTAATTCACTGACTCTACAATAAATATTTAGTAGACTATAAAGGTTGATTCAAATGCTTGAGAAAGTTTTATCATACTGAAAAACTGAAAGAAAAAGTGTCGGAGAACAGGTGGTCTGTCAGTACAACAAATTTAACAATAGCATAAAACGATTCAAGACTTACACATCATGGGAGATGAAAAGTGAAAGCTCCGAGAGAAAGAGAAACAGAATGAAAAGAACACTGCAGATGGAGATGCAGGCTCCCGTTAATGTAGGCTGGGTCAGATCCTTGGGAACCTTTCTGTAAATGTCAAATCTGAAATACAAAAAATAATTAATAACAAAAATGAGCACACAAACATGTTATGTATCAAGTATTTCAAAACAATCTAGGTTAATGGTTCTTCTGTTCTGGCCTGTGTTTATGCAGATTGGCACAATGGTTAGAACAATAAATTGTCTTCACTTTTTGCATTTATATATTCCATAAAATGTTTTATATTCCATTTGTGATATTACATCCCAAACAAGTTAATATATCCCATTTGGGCAGTTGATCCCAACCATATGCCCCTGCAAAACATTTACTTATTATAACCATTTGCAATCACAGGTACATGGGTCTTCGTTCATGAACATGTTTACCTATGAATAAAGGTATGCTTGCTCTGTAATTGCATCTTAACCACTCGCTTGCAAGTGGAACAGACGCCATTATGGAGCTTGCATACTTAACTCGTTTTACATATCAATAGGTAAATATATTTATAAACCAAGACCCAGGTACCTGTGATTGCAATAAAAGAGAAAGTTGTAGCTGAGTAACAATCTAAGAAGTGAAAACAGGTCAAATTGTGTCCCAGCTAATTCTTTATGCAGAATGCTACGCAAACTGACTTTTTGCTAACTTTGATTTGTTGATGAAAAAAACTTTTGCAAGCTTTTTAGTTCATAACCTGTCAATCAATCGGTCACATCGACGAGAGAATCTACCTAAATTTTTTTCATACCGACGTGCATTACTTTCACTCTCTAAATAAAACATCAGAAAAGTTTTAAAATACCTTCTAATGTCGAACTGCATCTTGCAAAAATTCTACAACATTAGAGCAACAGCTGCCTTGGGATATGCCAACGTGAAAGGTTTACAACGGAACCGGAAACGCACTTGTGATTAGCTCAATGTAGTACGGAAATCGGTAACGCTCGACTTTAACAACTCCGACCACAAAATAAATAGTCTTGCAGGGAGTACCAACTCTCTCTTTTTAATAATTTTAGGAATCTGAGGGGGAAAATACACGGACGCTTACAAAACTTAAACAAAAACTTAAAAAAAAGAATAGATTTATGCAGACACCCTCTTTTTCGAACTAGATAGGCAAGCTAATCTTTCAATTAAGGAACCGCAACAAAGTAATAGAACATTTTTTTTTAAATGTATAAAGGTGTAAAACTTGAGTTTATTTCCCTCGTTTTCAATATGCGGTACCAGCCATTAAATGTTCAAAGACAAAGATGTATTGATGAACATAGGGGCTCGGTTTCAGGTTGGTGAATTTTGTGTATTGTGTGTTTTTGAATGTATGTCTAACAGTCTGGTTAAAATCAAACCTTCGCTAGCTACTTTTTATTTTGACTGTCGCGTGAAGCGAAGGTTTGATTTTAATCAGACTGGTATGTCTAAATACATTGATTTTATTACTAAAAATCGAAAATCGCTGAAAGAAGCAGTTCTGTTTTTTTTAATTAATTTATTTATTTTTTAAATCAATCGTAAATGTATGTACTAAAAAAGTACCTTTTCTTTTTTATGTATATTGAAATACGACTTTTTTTAAAAATTCTTATTTTATTTTTTAGATTCAAGGGCACATCAGTCACTCTGAATGCATACAAATACCATAGAATTAGAACGCTTTCGTGTTCAGTGTATCCTTTTAAATAATAACGCGAATTGGGCTAGCATTGTGCACCTTATGGATCATTTTCAATAGCGAATCCAGTGGGAGCCCGCAACCCCCACCCCCCCACCCCCTCACTTTTACAATTTTCAGAGTTGGCCGGGAAAATTGTACAGAAGTAAGGGAACCAAAAAGTTACTCCCCCCTTCCTTCGGAGACTGGGACCCCTCGTAAGTCGAATCATATCAAGAAAAATGTACAAAAGTGACTTAATTTAACCCCCTTTTCTTGTCAAAGAATTTCTGCAAATGTACCAGAGGATTTTTCTTTGGAAAAATCCTGGAGCCTTTATTTTCTTTAAATTTCACATTACTAAATGTAATCCAATAGTATTTAATGTACAGCCCTCACCCCCCCCCCCCCCCCCCCCGTTGCTCTCATATAAACATTTTAATATCCTCATAGCTAAGATGGCGTGGAGTTTCCCGATATCTGTAATGATACCCGTTATAATCGCGTGTTGCTATCCAAAACAGCAGTTTTATCGATAAATCAATTAAGCAAAATTAGTCCTCGTGTAAAGACAAAGATATTTTATAAAACACTCTGGGACAATGTTTTAACCGAGGGAGAAAGCTGAAAGTCCAGTGTTAAAATAGAGAAGCGCTCATGCATCAGAGTATATAGGCAGGTCATAACTGAACATATCGATTTTAAGGTGGATGTTGTTAGGAAATCTACCCCGATTCTTGCCTTAACTGTTTGGAAACATGAAATGGATTTTGATTCCGACACCTACTTGGATAACATTGGCGGTGAGCATTTTTCGTATATTTCAATGTAACTGATGAGGGATGTATATTGACTTGTGGTCCCCGGGGAACAGTCAACGGCTAATCAGCTATATAAATATGCAGTGATTGTAAGGATTATTCTATTAGGGTTTCCCAATCAAGATTTTTTTTTCACATTTCAAGTAAAAAGATATAGCTAAACTTAACAGATGTCGCAAGCACGCCGAGAATTTGTTGTGCTTAAAAATAAATCATTTCCAAGAGAGAATGGAAACAATAAACCACAATATTTACTCTTAATTATATAAAATTAAGAATGTTTTAAGATTACTTAATAAGGTAGAATAAAGAGTAGCATGAAAATAAGCAAATAAATGCAGTCGCGTTCAGTTATCCGCGCGTTCGAAGTGCTGCTGGGGTTTAATCTTGGGATAGCAAGAGAAATATAAATTTTGATTGTTTTTACGTCAAACTACAATAAAGGAGGCAGCGGAAATTATGTTGGAGACAAATTAATTGAGTTCTAGCGTTAAGATGCCGATAATCACAGATATAAACCAACTATTAAACACCCAGACTCTGATCTACCGTGTGTTAATAACTTATATAATGATAAACTGGCATTGGTCGCGATATTTGATATCAGATAGATCTTATCGAAACTCTACTGTAAACTTTAATATGAAATGGTACACAACTGAGACATAGAGGGGATCAGTTCTTTATTGTAAGATCAGGGGCCGGTAATTGTAATAAAGAACTCGTAAATCGAGGCTCATCCAAGACAATAGAATTCTTATGTTTTGTCATTCCCCATATACCATGGAAGTGACTAGCAGAAATATATGTAAAAGTATATAGGGATCTACAGACACCGTTATCCCGCGGGAACAATAATGTTTAGTGTTACTTAAAATGGGTAAGTTTTCCACTTTCCGACAAAACTTTTATTTTCATAATTTGAAAAAAAAAAAATTTCAAAAGAAGCTTTGGTTTTCAATATTAAAACAAAACGAATTAAAACTTACAATCATCACACGTTCAGTAGTTAACATATTAGTGCAATAGGCAGACGATTTAATGATTAAAAGATTTTTAATCTAATGAGGTGTCAACATCTGCTAATGCCAGACCAGGCATGTCTCTGTTTGGGGGGGGGGGGGGTACAAAAGGCCACAAAATTAATAGTTTAATTACTCACAAGGGGCAGTCAGAGAAATGGCGGCGCAGAGGAGTTCTTTTTATTAAAGTATATGACATCGTTCACAAAATAATGAATAAATCATAAATAAATAAATAATAAACAACCCCCCTCCCCCCCCCCCCCCCCACGGAAAAAAAATTAAAAGTCGATATCCATTGAGGATCAGTAATCATTGGATCTTACTTACTTCTTCGTCTTCGTCCCCTATGGGAAATAAGGCTTCAACAAGCTGTCTCCATCTTCCTCTATCCTTTGCCACATATTTGCCACATATTGGAACTTAATAAATTCTACATAATCTTACCAAATAGAAAGATTCTTCTAAAATCACATTGGACCTGATTATTTTTATTAGTAATAATCGGGCTGATCATCTCTGTCATGTTAGAGCCCAGAGGTAAACATAGGTGTGAATAATTATAAGTACTGGCCGGGATGACTTCCAAACACCCCCCCCCCCCTTGGAAAAATCCTTATAATTTCATATTGTACAGCTATGCCATCCCCTTTATTTTTTGTCCAATACTTGACTTTGCTGTTTATGTTTGAAAGATAAACATTTAACAAAAGTAATTTAGAACTTCAGTATTTGCTTTCAGCTTTAATTTTTCTTTGAACAAACTCCTTTCTCCATTTGCCCTCCACTTTGTCAGATATCCCCACTGTAATAAATAAAGCTTCACAACAAGGTTCTATAAATGAAGAGTTTTACTTTTGTATCTTGAAAAGTAAACTGTCCTTTCAGGAGTATAGCTTTAACAAAGATCCAGTATTTGTTTAACTTAATGAAGCTAGGTGGTTGTTGCCTCCTTCTACCTTGCCATTAATGGGTGCTTGTTGTCTCTATTATATAAGTAGGTACTTGTCTCCTGTATAAACATCGGTACATATTTGACTTCTCTAATACCTTAATAGGTGTTTGTCATCTTCTAAAACATCACCAGGTCTTTGTCATCTCCTATAACACCACTAGGTGTTTGACATCTCCTATAACATCACTAGGTGTTTGTCATCTCCTGTAACAACACTAGGTGTTTGTCATCTCCTATAACAACACCAGGAGTCTGTCATCTCCTTTATCATCACTAAGAGTTTGTCATCTCCTATATCATCACTAGGTGTTTGACATCTCCTATAACAGCAATAGGCATTTGTCATCTCCTATAACATCACTTGGTGTTTGTTATCTCCCATAACATCACAAGGTGTTTGTCATCTCCTATAACATCACTAGGCATTTGTCATCTCTAATAACATTACTGTGTGTTAGTCATCTCCTATAACAGCAATAGGCATTTGTCATCTCCTATAACAATACTAGGTGTTTGTCATCTCCTATAACATCACTAGGTGTTTGTCCTATAACATCACTAGGTGTTTGTCATCTCCTATAACATCAGTGTGTGTTAGTCATCTCCTATAACATCACTAGGTGTTTGTCATCTCCTACAACATCACAAGGTGTTTGTCATCTCCTATAACATCACTAGGTGTCTGTCATCTCCTATAACATCACTAGGTGTTTGTCCTATAACAACACTGGGTGTTTGTCATCTCCTATAACATCACCAGGTGTTTGTCATCTCCTATAACAACACTAGGTGTTTCTCATCTCCTATAACATCACTAGGTGTTTGTCATCTCCTATAACATCACTAGGTGTTTGTCCTATAACATCACCAGGTGTTTGTCATCTCCCATAACAACACTAGGTGTTTGTCATCTCCTATAACAACACCAGGAGTCTGTCATCTCCTATATCATCACTAGGTGTTTGTAATCTCCTATAATATCACTAGGTGTTTGTCATCTCCTATATCATCACTAGGTGTTTGTAATCTCCTATAATATCACTAGGTGTTTGTCATCTCCTATAACAGTGATAGGCATTTGTCATCTCCTATAACATCACTTGGTGTTTGTTATCTTCTTTAACATCACTAGGTGTTTGTCATCTCCAATAACATAACAACACCAGGAGTCTGTCATCTCCTATAAAATCACCAGATGTTTGTCATCTCCTATATTATCAATATGTGTTTGCCATCTCCTATAACATTGTTACCTGGTGTTCTCCTTATTACATTACCTGGTACTGTCTTTTATTACATTACCTGGTGCTGTCTCTCATTACATTTCCTGGTGCTGTCTCTTATTGCATTACCTGGTGCTGTCCCTTATTACATTACCTGGTGCTGTCTCTTGTTACCATGCTTGGTGCTGTCTTTTGTTACATTTCCTGGTGCTGTCTCTCATTATATTACCTGGTGCTGTCCCTTATTACATTATCTGGTGCTGTGTCTTGTTACCATGTTTGGTGCTGTTTTTGTTACATTTCCTGGTGCTGTCTCTCATTTCATTACCTGGTGCTGTCTTTTATTACATTACCTGGTGCTGTCCCTTATTACATTACCTGGTGCTCTCTCTTATTACATTACCTGGTGTTGTCTCTTATTACATTACAAGGTACTGTCTCTTATTACATTTCCTGGTGCTGTCTCTTATTACATTACCTGGTGCTGGCTCTTGTTACATTACTTGGTGCTGTCTCTCATTATAGCAGTAGTTACTGTTTCTTATTATATTGGTAGTTATTGTTCCTTTATTCATAAGTAGGTACCCTCTCTTATTATCAATGGGAACTGTTTCATATTATATAAGTAGACACTCTCTCATGATATCAGCTGATACTCTCTCATATTATAATACCAGTAAGTTCCATTTCCCATAACACCAGCTGGTGCTGTCTTTAATTTTAACAGTGCATATGAGGGGTGATCAGAAGGTCCACAAACTAGTAGAAGTTCGGTAGCAGTAGGGTCTATCTCTTGTTACATTTGTTGGTACTGTCCCTCATTATAGCAGTAGATACTGTCTTCTTTAACATTAACTGGTACTATCTTTAATCAAAGCAGTAGGGACTGTTTCTTATTATAGCAGTATATACTCTCTCTTATTAAAATAGTAGGCATCGTCTATTGTTATAACAGTAGGAACCGTCTTTTATTACATAAACTGGTCATTAGCTCATCTTTTTGTAGTAAGTACAGTATCTAATTACAGCTAGCAATTTCTGCTATTTTAGCAGTAAGCACTTCCCTTATTACATCAATAGGTACTGTCTCACATGTCAACAATAGGTACTGTCTCTTATGTCATCAATAGGTATTGTCTCTTTATTACATCAGTAGGTGCTGTCACTTTTGTTACATCAGTAGGTGTTGTCTCTTATTATATCAGTAGGTGCTGTATCTTATTACATCAGTAAGTACTGTTTCTTGTTACATCACTAGGTGCTGTCACTTTCATTACATCAGTAAGTACTGTCTCTTATTACATCAGTAGGTGCTGTCTCTTATTACATCAGTAAGTACTGTCTCTTGTTACATCTGTAGGTGTTGTCACTATTATTACATCAGTAAGCATTGTCTCCTGTTACATCAGTAGGTGCTGTCACTTTTATTACATCAGTAAGTATACTGTCTCTTGTTACATCAGTAGGTGCTGTCTCTTTTATTCCATCAGTTAGTACTCTCTCCTGTTACATCAGTAGGTGCTGTCTCTTATTACATCAGTAAGTACTGTCTCTTGTTACATCTGTAGGTGCTGTCACTTTCATTACATCAGTAAGTACTGTCTCTTATTACATCAGTAGGTGCTGTCTCTTATTACATCAGTAAGTACTGTCTCTTGTTACATCTGTAGGTGTTGTCACTTTTATTACATTAGTAAGTAATGTCTCCTGTTACATCAGTAGGTGCTGTCTCTTTTATTACATCAGTAAGTACTGTCCCCTGTTAGATCAGTAGGTACTGTC